AACTCCCTCAAAATTAGCTTTGTGATTGAATATATTGATTTCTGCATAATTGTGTACAACTCCAAAAATAATCAATATCCCCAGAAACAAATACTAGGCTATCCTGATTTAAATACCTTCAAAGAATAATCTGATGATGGCTTATTTCCGTTTTAAAGTCTTATTTCTGTGTAAAATCATAATCAAAGTTGTAAGCAATAATCTCCAGATTTGTAAGCCCTTTAATTGAATACAGAAATACAATTTCCTGAGAATACAAGACGATAAATTAATTTGAGTAGAAAGCCAAGAACTAAGACTTCGCACACTTTTCATATTAGAAGCGGAATTAATTAATTCGAAGCGTGCGCGCTATCAGAAACGCTCCTCCCAAAGGCAACTTCAGGCGATTGTATTAAAAACGTCTGTTTCCCTTTCAGTTACTTAATTAATAGGGTGTATACACAAGTACAAATATGCATAAGTTTTAGCATTTCATAAGCTGGAGGGGCAAAAAAGTCGGAAATAGGGAAAAAGCATTTTAAATTCAACCTTTGTGCAATGCGGGAATTGCGGTTTCGTGTTACGCACAACCTAATAATGCTAATTGCATATCGGTCTGGCTTTCAACTTGGCTAAACGGTGATGCACTCTTCGGATTGGCAAGGGGTTAAAGTGCACTCGGATATAAACTTTTGCAAAGAATAACTTTATTAGCCAAGAGCACGGAATTCTTGAAAGGCAGCTAAAAATGCTCGGGTGACGCTGGAATATTAAAGTCTCTATTATAAAACAAGGAAGAACGCTATAGTCGAGTACCTCGACTATCAGATACCCGTTACTCAGCTAAATGGAGATATGCAAGCAGCAAAGCGAGATTAAAATGCGCCACCTACCGGCGGTAGACAGATTTAAGCGTTATGGGCGTTAGAGTGGGCGTGGCAAATTTATTTTTGGATAAATCGATAGGTATTGACGACACCAATACATTTCAGTTAAAATTTTTTATGTAGCATGCAAATTGTGGGCGTCACAGGTTTTCGCGGTTTGTGGGCGTTTAAGTGGGCGTGGCAAACTTTTTTTTAGGTCAATCGATAGGTATTGATGAGAACAATACATTTCAGTTAAAATTTTTTATCTAGCATCAAAACTGTTGGAGTTACAGTTTTGGGCGGTTTGTTGGCGTTAGAGTGGGCGTGGCAGTCTACTGAAACAAACTTGCGCTGCGTAGGAAGCTCAGGAATCTGTACGCCAAATCTCAATAGCCTAGCTCTCATAGTTTCCGAGATCTCAGCGTTCATCCGGACAGACAGACGGACAGACGGACAGACGGACAGACGGACATGGCTAGATCGACTCGGCTAGTGATCCTGATCAAGAATATATATACTTTATGGGGTCGGAAACGCTTCCTTCTGCCTGTTACATACTTTCCGACGAATCTAGTATACCCTTTTACTCTACGAGTAACGGGTATAAATATATATTAGCTAGACATGTTTAAAAAAACATGTATTGTAAACGTTTTGTAAGTAATTAATAAAATATATTTATATTTAGCACTATACCCCCTATGTTAGTATTAGTTTTGTTAACTTTACTATCATCTTAAATAAATAAATAAATATTTATATTTAAAAAACTGTAGGGAAAGTAATTGTTTAAAAAAGACCTAAGATTTTGCCTAAGGTAAGTTTAAATTATAAAGCTTTAAGTTTCTAAAATATAACCATTAGAAAATAATTATTTTAAAAATTAATTTCAAGGTTTTATTATTTTTAAGTATTTTTTAAGTTTTTTATATGTACAGCTTACAACCAAAGATAATAATAGAAATATAATTCTGTCTCTTGTTTTCCCAGACTTGTTCACATAAGTTTTAAATAAATAGCTTAAAATATATTTTAATAGTCAGCCTATAAGTCTATTTTTATAAAACAAAAGAAAACATCCTCTTTTTCACCAGAATTTCCTTTTTCAAAGCTTAGGCAATTAAATCATTTGCCATTTGCAGATACACCGACATCCTTGCCGTTTGGCATTGCTATTAACTTTTCCGGGAAGAGATTTGAATCTGGAGGACAGCAGGACTGTCAATGTCCAGAGACGAGTCCTTCGAACAAAAACCGGATAAAAGTGAAAGACCAGAAAAGTGAGAGACAAAGGCACTTGAAAAGTTTCGCATCATTACTCGGGTGTTTTGTGGTGATTGGCTTTGGTATTTGGTTTTGGTTTTGGTTTTTGTATTGGAATTGGGATGATCTCTGCCCAGCCCACAAAAAAACAAACAAGAACTTCAAGAGATACCCTGACTCCTCAACAGAAATGACAGTTTCTGACCCCTCAAAGCCAGACACTTGAAGTGTCGGGCAAACAAAATCATTTGGCCGACGTGTTTTGTTTGGCTAAACGAACTTTGCCCCAACTAAAACAAAGCAGGCAAACTATCTTACTATCTTACATTTCAATTTAAGTTTCCGTTTGGCTTTAGTTCAGTGTTTTTCTTAGCCTTGATTAACTGCAAATGCAAACAGCGCGTTTCCCGTGGATTCGGCTTCGTTTCCTACCTAATTAGGTGCAATTGTTTGCCGCTTTACTTTCATTTTCATTTTCATTTTCATTTCCAACTGAGACGAGCGCACACCCGGCGTATGCGCATTATAAAAATTTATGACTCATAGAAATTAAATGACTATCATTCGTATGTATTAGCCGGGGCGAAATTAGTTTGTCTTAGCAGATCCACGGCGACCACGAAGGTTGAGGGATAAAAAAAATGGGTGGCATTTTCTTGAACTGGGTGCGGTTTTCCGGGTTTTCCGGGTTCACTGGGTTTTCCTATTTTTACGGGGGCAAAAACATACAAAAGCGACGAACAAATGCGAAAGATGCATATCAAACTGTTGCCAGCATAAATCAGAAGGTAACCCGAATACATAAATATCATGTAATAAACATGTTTATGGGGTAATAGACCTACTTCTAAGGGAGGGATGTAAAGACCTTATCTAAGCGCATTAGTTGCCAGTTCATTTGTACACATATTTTCATCCTAAATAATGTGCAAACTTGGCCTTTAATTGAACTTTTTCGCAGATAAGCTGAATCAATAAATCGAGAATGTAAAATGTATTTCGCTTTCGCGTGGCTTTTTGCTGTTTATTTTTGTTTTTGTTACATTTGCCAACGAAAATTTGGCCAGGTGATGTTATTGTTAAAAATTTTGTAGACACCTTAAATCAATCCATATCCATCCGAAAGAAAATACCATTCACGAACTTTTCACACATACGTTTCTGTACAAAATTCAGGTTTTTTTGCTTTGTTTATACGATTTTGTTTAATGCTGTCACGTCGGCTAATTGTAAACAAACTTACTCAATGAACTGAATGGATGGACGGATCGTGTCCAGAAGCACGCTCCATTTATATGGTATGGTATATGGTATTTTTAGCTTGCAAACGACAGACAATTTCAGCGATTAGGCCAGAGGGCTATGTAAATTTTCCATAAGTCTGCAGTTTGTTTTTCCCCCCAAGAAATTTTCCTGATCGTGAGGCTTATTTAAATGGCACATTAAAGCTAGGGAGTTATACTAATAGCTCTTCCGGTTGCCAAAAGCTAATAAATGGCACGCGCATTCGATGCACTTTGGTGTTCCACCTCCATTTAAATTTTTATTTGCCATCTCAAACCCTTTCTCTGAGTTTTCCTTGGTCTGCAGTTTTGTTTCTGGTTTTTTCCTCTGGGTTTTCATTATCTAGGGAGTTCCTGCCTTGTGGCTAAGTGTGCAGCATGAAAAGGGTGTCGCCCAAATCCCCAAATAAAACATGAGCTCAAGATTCTGGTTGCGACTGAAACCTGAAACGGCTGCATACACTAAAGAGAATTGAAATATATATGCACTTTTTATTGTGCACATGAAAAAAACTATCAAATTTTAAATGGTTGTCTTAAAAAAATATATCCATAATATTTTATCTAATTTTAAAAGGCATTTTCGTCTGCAGCTCCTTGCAAGTTCTAGTTCTAGGAGAGAATAAAAAATACTCAGGATAATAAAAGGGATCATTTTAAAAGACAACGAATACTGAGGATAGATTTTAAATCCAATTTAGAATTTTAAAGAGGAAAATTAGAAGTAGGGAATTATTTTAAATTACGCTGGATAATTGTATATAGAATTTATGGCATCCATTATAATCCAATTTTTTTATGAACTAAATACTTTAAAAATTTTGGAACGGACACCATTTCGAATTTATATGTTTGGTGCCACGTGTGGTTTAAACTAAAAATGTAATAATATTTTTAATTGTTTTTTTTACGAAAAATATTTTCTCTGTAAAGGAAAATCAAAAATTTATTGAAAGGAATGTAACTCTTATGGTCAACAAAAACCAAATTGAATTGTATGATGAAATAGTTACCCAAAATTATTCATTGAAATTACGTAACCCAAGACTGGAATTCAATACACAATCACCAGGAAATCTATCAACAGCAGGGGCAAAAATTGCATTAAAATGGAAATTTCCTATGGTCCGATACCAGGCGTGGGTTTTGAACATTTTCAACCCATATCCAGGATTTATGGAGCCGTATGCAAACGGAAAACGGAAGCAAAATAAACAGCACAAAAGCGTAACGGAAACAGAAGCAGAACCCAGGGAAACGGGCCTGTTTTTGTCGATTTGAATGCACATGGGTAAATGCATATAAGCTATTTCCCCTAACTCACAATTTACGAGTGCAACTGCAGTTTAGGAGCAGTCAAGGACCGGAAAAACGTATTTTTTTACGGGCTCGTTTCCAGATTCACATGCCGGTGGTATGAAATTACCATCAATTTTTCGGATAATAAAGCGGCCATATGCCATTTACTCTCGAGTGTCAGCTGTCAAAAAGCCAGAAATATTACGCCAGATTAACCGATCAATTTTTAATTTGCCATTTCCGACACCGCAGATAAACACATTTACATCAATCTGCAGTTATTATTTATTATGCTTATGCTTACATTTGCGTTTAAGTGTTTTCCGTGTTTTTAAGCGATTCCAGTCATCGCATTTAGGAAGTCCATTAAACAGGATGTGGATGTGGATGTGGATAAAGAGGAGCACATGCCACTTGGGCCAAATTTTGTTTACACACCCGCACAATAATAACAACAACACACACGGGAAGAATTTAAATTTAAATTTATTGGATTCTCTTTAGCGAAAAAAGCACTTGAAACGCTATATAACCGGATATTGGCGTCAACGGAGCCAAAAACGCAGAGCACATCCGAAGAATTCCGTTTTTGAACTTGAACTATCCGTCGGCAAAAGAGGAGAGAACGCATGCGACTTGTTGGCGCGCGCGAAAACGTTTGGCCTGCTTTTCCGTTTGCCTGGCTGTTTTGGGCCAAAAGCACCAACACGCACACAATTGATCCGAAGATTGGTTAGCTGGTGCGCCAAAAGGGGAACCCCGCTCTGTTTAGTTCTGAAAAGAAATGCCGGCTCATTGGAGCGCAGGCGCAGAAACATGTTGCTGGCGGACATGTTGCGCCAATCTTGCTAACAAACCTATTTCTACCTCTTCATTGATCAGTGTTTTTTAAGTTACATTTTAGTTTAGTTTTTATTTCTTTATATATATATAACTACTTTAATTCAAACTTTGTTTGAATTGTTGTCTTAACTTGCATTCCAATTTTTAAATTTACCGCTCAATTTATTGCACTCTATCGATATATCGCTTTGCATGCCGGCTTTCCGTTATCGATATAAGCATGCTCTCTCTTTTAGAGATAACAGTGACTCACTTAGTGATGGGTGACTTTCAAGTCACTTGAATAGCTCTCTCCTAAAGTAAAAACATGCCAATACCGCAAATTTAACACTTCATATGTTTCTAAAAATAAATTGTATTTCTTCTAGAATATACACACCTGTCAGTCAAAATAACTAAGTAAAATCAAATACCCCGCCCCGTGACTTCTTACAATATTCATCGGCAACGCTTACACATGCAAACTTCGCCCATCTCTAGTCTCTCTTTTTGATGTCTTGTGCATTCGACATCGTTTAGTTTTGCTGTAAAAATAGTAAGTTTATTGTGAAATATTGAGCGCCCGGTGGTGGTAAACACTCGAAATAAAAGCCAGTGAACTGATCTATCAAAAGCCTTTAAGCGAAATAAACACTAAGCATGCGGAAAGAATTGGGCGAAATTTTTGCAAAACGCCATGTTGGCCGCTCAAACATAACCTCAACCAAAGCAAAAACTTATGTGGCCCGAATAAAATTAATAAATTGTGATTTGTGATTCCAGGCGCAGACAAACGGCCGCGTAGAAAGTCAACGAAGATGTCGCGTTTCTTTGCCAACGGGTCCGACTCGGAGTCCGAGTCCAGCGAGGAGGAGATCCAAGCGACCAACTTCAACAAAGCCAGCGCCTTCGTGAGTACCGCCCAAATGTGGGAAAGGCATCATCCTTGGGCTGTCCTTTAGTAATCCCTATAATCCCCTGCAGCAATTCAGCGACGATGAGGAGGAGGTCAAGCGTGTGGTGCGTTCCACGAAGGAGAAGCGCTACGAGAACCTCACCAGCATCATCAAGACCATCCGCAACCACAAGAAGATCAAGGACATCCCCAATACGCTGTCCAGCTTCGAGGATCTGACGAGGGCCTACCAGAAGGCCCTGCCCGTAATATCGAAGGAGGAGAACGGCATCACGCCGCGCTTCTACATCCGCTGCCTCGCCGAGCTAGAGGACTTCATCAACGAGGTCTGGGAGGATCGCGAGGGCAGGAAGAACCTGTCCAAGAACAACTCCAAGTCGCTGGGCACGCTGCGCCAGAAGGTGCGCAAGTACATCAAGGACTTCGAGGACGATTTGTCGCGTTTCCGTGAGGCACCCGACCAGGAGAGCGAGGCCGAGGACGAGGTGGTGGCTCTGGACAGCGATGGCGGCGATGCTGGTGACGATAGTGATGTCGGAATCAAGCGGGAGCCCACAGAAGCTGTGCCCAAGACGGCCAAATTAGTGCCGGCTAAGGCTGCTCCCGCCGACGACGATGATTCCGATGACTCTATCGACTGGGACTCAGACTCCGAGTCGGAGACTGAATCCTCCGACGACGAGAACCAGTACCAGAACATGCGTGAGCGTTTCTTGAAGCGCACCACCGAAAAGGAGGACAAGGACGATGACAAAAGGAAGGACAAGCGCAAGGAGCAGAAGATCAAGATCCGTAAGCGCGCCGAGGACGATGAGGATGGCGAGTGGGAGACCGTGGTCAAGGGTCATGTGGTTGAGAAGCCCAAGATGTTCGAAAAGGACGCCGAGATCGATGTGCCCCTGGTGCTGGCCAAGCTGTTGGAGATCATGTCTGCGCGCGGCAAGAAGCGCACCGATCGTCGTCTGCAGATCGATCTGCTGTTCGAGCTGAGGGACATCTCCGATCAGCACAACCTAGGCACCGCCGTCTCCGTGAAGATCCACTTCAACATTATCTCGGCCATCTACGACTACAACCAGAAGATCTCCGAACCCATGAAGCTGGAGCACTGGGCCCTCCTCTTGGAGGTGATGCAGAGCATGCTGAAGCTGCTGCTGGCCAATCCCGACATCATTATGAGCGAGAGTGTGGCCGAGGAGCATGAGGAGTACGCCGCAGCGCCTTTCTACGTGCGTGGATGCCCTCTGGCCGCGGTGGAGCGCCTGGATGATGAGTTCGTCAAGCTGCTGAAGGAGTGCGATCCTCACTCCAACGACTACGTGTCCAGGTTGAAGGACGAGATTAACGTGGTGAAGACGATCGAGCTGGTGCTGCAGTATTTCGAGCGCTCCGGTACCAACAATGAGCGTTGTCGCATTTACCTACGCAAGATCGAGCATCTGTACTACAAGTTCGACCCCGAGGTGCTAAAGAAGAAGCGCGGTGAGTTGCCAGCCACCACCACCACCTCCGTGGACGTTATGGATAAGCTCTGCAAGTTCATCTACGCCAAGGACGACACGGATCGTATCCGTACGCGAGCCATCCTGGCGCACATCTACCACCATGCCATGCACGACAACTGGTTCCAGGCCCGCGATCTGGTGCTGATGTCTCACCTGCAGGACAACATCGATGCTGCTGATCCCGCCACCCGCATCCTGTACAACCGCATGATGGCCAATCTTGGTCTGTGCGCCTTCCGTCAGGAGAACGTCAAGGATGCCCACCACTGTCTAGTGGACCTGATGGTCACCGGCAAGCCCAAGGAGCTGCTCGCCCAGGGACTGCTGCCCCAGCGCCAGCACGAGCGATCCGCCGAGCAGGAGAAGATTGAGAAACAACGCCAGATGCCATTCCACATGCACATCAACCTGGAGTTGCTCGAGTGCGTTTACCTGGTGTCAGCCATGCTGTTGGAAATTCCCTACATCGCGGCCCATGAATTCGACGCTCGTCGCCGCATGATCAGCAAGACGTTCTACCAGCAGCTGCGCTCCTCGGAGCGTCAGTCCCTGGTGGGTCCACCCGAGTCGATGCGTGAGCACGTCGTGGCCGCTGCCAAGGCGATGCGCTGCGGCAACTGGCAGGCGTGCGCCAACTTCATTGTCAACAAAAAGATGAACACGAAAGTGTGGGACTTGTTCTACGAGTCTGATCGCGTGCGCGAAATGCTCACCAAGTTCATCAAGGAGGAGTCCCTGCGCACCTACCTCTTCACCTACTCGAACGTCTACACCTCGATCAGCATTCCCTCGCTGGCGCAGATGTACGAGCTGCCCGTGCCGAAGGTGCACTCGATCATCAGCAAGATGATCATCAACGAGGAGCTGATGGCCAGCCTGGACGACCCCTCCGAAACTGTGGTCATGCACCGTTCGGAGCCATCGCGCCTGCAAGCCCTGGCCATGCAGTTTGTGGACAAGGTCACCAACCTGGTGGACGTCAACGAGAAGGTGTTCGACATGAAGCAGGGCAACTTCTTCCAGCGCGGCAACATGGGCAATCGCGGAGACCGTGGCTACAACCGCAACCAGAACAACCAGGGTGGAAACTGGGGCGGCCAGCGCAGGGATAATCGCAACAACCGCAACCGAAACCAGCGCGGTCACCATAAGAACAACCAGGATAGGCAGAACAATCAAGATAGACAGCAACAAGTCCAGACCATCGACGAGGAGTAGACGCCAGCTCTTCCACTCAGCCCAATCCACACCAGCGCGCGTTAGCTAATAACACCAGCAAAACATAATCAGAACAAATTTGTAGCACTTGGACTATTAAAAATGGAATGGCCATGGACAACTCGTTGGGTGTGCTGTCAGGCCTCCGATTCGGTTTCCGACTGGATCGGAGGTCTGGTTCCATCATCCGTCGACATTGTATGTTGTAGCCAAGTCCCACATAAATTTGTTTTAGCGCTCAATACGTTAATGATAATATTGATAACTACATTTTGTATGAACCCAAAACTGAAAAAACCTTAAAAACAAGAGAAAGAAAACCAGTGGCTTTAATCAGGGGGTAACCATTTATTGAAGAGACAGTTTAATCAAATATCTGCTGATAAGTATTCTCTTCAAACGTAGAATTGTAAGATTTGAATTTCGATAGAGCTTTTCACCCTTCTATCGATATGCAGTTGGCTGTCATCTCTGAAACCCTTTCTTCAGTAGTACCGTTGCACGGACCTTTGTCACATTTTTTCGGAACTCTTATTTAATAGACAAATTATAAATTAAAATCAAACAAACAAACTTGTCATACAAATGGACAGCGTTGGCGAGGATTGCAACGAGCTGAAGCAGCAGTACGACGCTTGTTTCAACAGCTGGTTTTCGGAGCGGTTCCTGAAAGGTCAAACGGATGACTCAGCTTGTGTGCCGATTTTCCGGGTGTATCAGGAGTGCGTCAAGGTAAGGCTAATGGATTTTCACCTGTATATAGGGTTTGACCAGTTATAATTTCTAGCGCGCTATTAGGGACAAGAAGATCAATTTGCGGGAGATAGACCCAATCTTTGAAACGAGTTCCGACGAGGACAATGCCAACAGTTCCGATGGACAGAAGCAGCAGAAGGGCAACAGTTGACCTCACGACCCTCTTCACAAGAACCAAGGAAATAGGCAGCTAAAGCATCAGTTCCAGACCATCTATAAGGAATATAACCCAGAGAATCCTCGCCAGCGTGCAATTGCTTAAAAGCCACGTAAACTGAACAAGTTCGTAGCATTTTAATAGTTAACAATACAATGGCCATGAACAACTGATTATACAATAACAAAAACTGCCTTAATATAATTTATTTAAGTAAATTAGGTGCTTTAAAGAAAACGCAAGATTCAAATTTCGATTGTAGGCAACTAAGCTTATATCGATATGTTGTTTCGCCCATCTCTAAAAGCCTTATCTTTAGTATGACCTTTGCACGAACCATCCGCACATTTTTTTCGGCTTATTATTCAATAACTTAAAAATTATAACTTAAAACCAAAGAACTCGGACCTACAAATGAACAGCATAGGCGATGATTGCAATGAGCTCAAGAAGCAGTACGATGCCTGCTTCAACAGCTGGTTCTCGGAGGGATTCCTGAAGGGTCAGACAGATGACTCGGGCTGCTCGCCGATTTTCAGGGTCTACCAAGAGTGCGTCAAGGTAAGGCCAAGTTTCATCATCGAATCGGTTAACCCAACCCTTGACCTTTAGCGCGCCATGCGGGAACAGAAGATCGAGTTGCGGGAGGTGGGAACGGATTACTCCACAGGCTCCGAGTATGACAATGCGAACAGTTCGGGAGGAAAGCCCCAGCCGAAGAGCAAGAGTTGACCCGTCACGCCGCTCCAGCATCCTGGCTACGGCCTTGATTCCACAATCGGCCAGGAACAGGTCCCTAGTAGTCTCACCGGTCATCAGCGCCGGCACCAGAGAGGGGGCACTGCCTAGGAGTCCGTGGATTACCACGTACTAGGAGCCGCTTTGTTTCAGCCCTTTGGCTCACATCCATAAAGCTAAATCTTATATAAATTATGTAGTGAATGTTTTATAACTAAGTTCAAGTAGCAAGCCATAAAAGTGTTATACTCAGACGGACTCCGGTCTTCACTTTCTCAAAAGTATTCGTAAAAGCTCAGGAATAAGTTAAGGCCGGAGTTCTCCTTATCGTGCATAACTGCAATAAAGTGTTATCGTAATATATTAAATAATTACTTACTGAGGAAAAATTAATAATTTACTTATTGATGGATCACAAAAGATCTGTTTCTTAATATTTAATGCATTTAAATCATCTGTTATCTGTTAAATGTGAATCCCAACACAGAACAAACAGATACGAGTACTTCCCCATTGGGAATTCACTTGATCATAATCAGAGGCAAGCTCATCCATAAAAAGAAGGATCCGGAGCTGTACCAGCACAATTCAAAGTCTAGTGTCCAACCGTCAAGATGCAACTGCTGCCAATTCTTGTGCTCCTGGCTCTGGTCATCTGTGCCGCCTGCAAGAACCACGAGGAATGGGGAGGACACCGACCAAGTGACTACGATCCCAGGCCATATTCGAGGCAATTTTAAATCTATGGGAAACGCTTTCAATTTGCTGATAAATCAACTAAGTTAATTTGACTTTAAAATATTTCAAAAGCTGATTATAATCAACCTAAAAGAATTTATTTGGAGATGAATAATAAACAATACCACATCGTAGAAATTAACGCTGTATTTATGAAATCCAACCGGAAGCAGGTGCCGAAATGGGTACACAATTGGCGCCCGCTTCTATAGCTCTTTCTGAAACATGTATAAATGTTTGCTGGCCTAATAACTAAGATGACTGCCACAGCCAAACCAAAAACACAACTAATCAAAAACGTTTTTAGTGAAGAAACTGCGGCAGCAGACAATAGAAACTTAAAAACCTACACAACTTTATGCTTTAAGATTAGATGGGACGAACGACGTTCACTTGCCACCGGCAGTGAATTTGGAGAGCTTTTCCAGCAGACCAATGTAGGAAGTGTGCTCATGGGCGGTGGCCAGATCGGAGAGCTTTTCGGCGAACTCCTGGCTGATGCCCTTCTCCTCCAGCAGATTGATCAGCAAGTCGTACAAGTAGCCATCGAGCACGTCGCCAGCAACGGCGTAGACCTTATCGTTCCACTCGCCCTCGAAGATGGCCATTTCATCGATGGAGAAGACGTCGTCTGGAAGGAAGAGCAGTTGTTATTGATGGATAATAGGGGATCTAGGATTCAGCACTCACTGTACTCGCCCTCCTGGGCCTCGCCTTGGAGGAAGGTGCAGGTGAAGGACAGTGTGGAGTTGCCCTTGATGATGTCCACCTCGAACTGGGGCTTGCTCCTCATCTCGCCCAGCTCCGGCTTGTCGGCATTCGGGTTGATCTCCGGCTCCTCTTCGCTGTCCACAGAGTGGTTTACATTAAAGCTGACCACCACCTTCTCCTTATCCGTCTGCTTGGTGAGCTCCACATCGGCGCCGGTCAGTTTCACGGCGAAGCCGTCCAGGGTGCTGGGCACCGACTTGCCCTTCTGCACCTTGCGCTCGGCCACGATCTCCTCAGTGAGGAACTCCACCAGTTCCCGCTCACCTGGGGGATAAACATGGTATTGTGTTTTCAGTGTTTTGGTCAACATTTCGTCACCCCACGTTTGAGGTTATGTAACCGGCGGCATGGACCATGTCCATGTAAGACTCTTATGAGATAAACACTCACATTTGGTGTGCACATTGCAGCCGCACGTGCAGTTGATGCTGGGCTTGTGGAGATTCAGGACGGTTACATGATCGGATCCTCCTGCCGTCACCGGCTTTTTGGTCATGTGCCACAGGCTCCGGGTGAAGTCCCTCTTGCCCAGGGAGCCGGCTTTGGAGCTGGCCAGGCTGGCGAAGCGCATGGTGGCTGTCCTCAGGCTGTTCATCTTGTTATATAACCGCGACTTGGTCTTCTACGTTAATTAAACAGAGAAATGTGCAACACGCCGAATTCGTGGTAATGCCTCGAGTGACCGTTATTTCAAACTAGAAAAATCCCGTAAGCAAAACACCTGACAATCGTTTCTAGACTTATCGATTATTTATGGCGCCAATAAAGCTTATTTGAATTCACATAGCTTTTAGCATAATCTTTTAATTCTAAAATCAATTTTGATCCTGTGTATTCAAGGTCTCAATATGAGACATACTCATAACACATTTATTTTAAAGCTGGATTATATGAAAATCAATAAAGGTAAATAATTTATTTGCTAGATTAAAAACATCATATTCTTTGATATAAGCAATCTTAAAATGGTAATTAAAGTTTTTCTAAACAAATGATTCAATCTGCTGAATTCCCCAATCATTAACCATTAAAAATACAAGCAATTTTAAAAACAGCTTTTCAAACGTCTCTGTAACAAAATAATAAATTAATTGATTTCCCCCGAAGCCAAGCCAAAACATCCTTCGTTATGAAAAAATTACGACTTTATTAGATTTTAGATTGCTCATGGGAGGTATACAACAATATACACAATACAAGACATACACGGTAATAAAAACTAAACACCTTATTGGGTTCTCTGGTTTATGGACCTCCGAGCGGAAGACCCTTTCCTAAACAATATTATCATGCATGCAATCAGACTCTCTCGCCATATATCATTGTTTTTCAACCAAAAGGCATATCATTACGTCCTTATAAAATTTCAATAAAATCTATCACAATATGAGAATTTTATCATTATGTTACTTTTTTTGTAGAATTTAAAAATATTTTATGTGTATTTTTTTTGGGATTTTTCTCTTTTGTTTTCAAGACGTTCTTATGATTAGATCTTGACATTAGGCTTAGACATGCGTATAAAAATATATTAATTACGATGAAAATTGCATTTTACACGTTTCTAATTAAAGTTGCCATTGTACATTGTATTTTATGCATATTTTTCAGTGGGACGGACAACAGCTTAAATGTTAACATAAAAATATTAAAATGCTGATTTGCTTCCTTTGCCAAGCTCATTATTTTTCATGCAAAGCTTACAAGTTAAGGCCTAGATTTTATACTATTCATAAGGCTTGCTGTTGTTGCAGAATTATATTTATTTCCGCTTTCTTGTGCGTTTTTGCATCATGATGATGTGAGGGCTGCCGAGTCAGTTCATATCAAACAGCCTCATAGAAGTTTTGTTCGTTCCTTAGCCTAGTTCGTACTCTTAATTACATTCTATGTTCAATTCCTTATTGAGCTTATGTTAGATACAATATTAACGCTTTTGTTAGCCACAAAGCATAGAGCTTTAAAGTCTATGTCGTATTCTGTTAGTTCTCCACAAACAAACTCATATAGAAAAATTAATCATTCAGTCTAACAAAATACTTGTAGAATATTCGATTGAATTTCGAGAAATAATCGGGGTATTGGGTCTGGGATATTCGGGTTCGATTTCGGTATGTGTGATATGTGGGTACATTTATACAGCTCTAATATTTGCACTTAACGATTATACATTTATAGTACTCATAAGGGGGGGGCGACACATTCGGGCTGCTTAGCTGAGGGCAGGCACTTCAATTTTGGACAGCAAAAGTCGACGTCAGGGGAATGCGGAGTGCTTTAGTTTGCCCAGGCTTTAGCAGCCCGCACACTATGTTGTCAATAAATTTAACTAAATTTTGCCAAACAAACTAAACTTATTACAAATTTTACATCAAATTAAATTACAGTTACATGCTAAGTAAAAAAAGATGCAACAGCTTCTGCGCTCTACTCTTCAGACGCGTTTCAAACGCATCTGAAACTGTCGTCTACTTCATTCGCGGGATGGGTGGGGGTTTACTATAACTAACAGCAACATAAACAACGAAAATATGTTTTAGAGTATAGAAATTCGACTAATTTTGCAATTGGCTGCCTTTGCAAGCCCACTAGATGTAAGTGCGTTTCACTTTCGTTAGCGTTGACGTCTTGCAGGGCAACTCTTTTTCCAAATGTTCCGTGGAGTTTTTGCACTCATGACTGCGATCCTTTTCCAGATCCAGGTTAGGTGTTTTCTGTGTTGTGGTGTAGGCATTGGAGCCCATTAATAGATTGATATCTTTGCCGGTATTTTGATGCTTGAATTGTCTGTGGGGAAAAGTTGATTAGTATTGTTTAAAGAAATGTGCAACAAGATCAACTTACATTGGCTTGCCGAAATGATTGCGGTGACTGTCATCCATTTGCCCCTCCATCATACGACTCCAAGCCTTGACACAGAATACTCCCGCACTGCCGCCCACCACAAAGGTGATGGAAACGATAATTGCTAGAAAGACGTAGCTGGGAGCCGAAGCCCGGTTGATTTCATCAACACTTGCTGTGGATTTCTGGGGATCTGTTGGGCAAAAGCATTATAATTCCTATATTCACAGATGTAATAGTAGAAGTACTAACCGTTCAAACTGGGCATATCGTCGGGATCCATTGACGTAAGTGTGATCTTGTTCAGTCCAAAGTCATCGCCACCAGTGGGCTGCTGTTCAAAGCTCGGCTGATCACCTTGCGAGGCACCCACATTGGAGTACAGAAGTTTCTGGTCCTCTGACGGCGGTGGAGGAATGGTAACAACGCTCATCGTCTCTGCACCTGGTCCATCACGTGGAACATGGGGACACAGGAGGGCAGCAGATTTCTTGGTACTGTTCAGGCTCTGCAGATAGGTCTTTGTTCCGAACTTGTGCTGACTGGTAGCCAGGTTTTTGCACTCGTGTGTCTGTAAATCCCAGGCGCAGATGGGATCCTGCAGACTCAGGCAGCCCAGGCAGTCCACAATGTGGGTGCAGTGATGCAGGGGTACGCTGACCAGGCTGCCATCACTAACCACCACCAGCGAGTTCTTTGAAGTGGAGATGACCAACTCCCTAACTGGCGTTCCCAGTGGCAGAACCTGCATCTCCGATATGACCACCGTCTTGAGACGATCCACCGTTGAGTTCGGATGCGTGGTCAGTATATTAATAAACTTGGTCACCTTGCCGTCATCCGTACCACTGTATACCACATCGTAGTAAGCACCGCTTAGGGACTTCACCTGCGGATGCACTGCAATGGCAGTAAGTCTGTGGTGCAAGTTAACCTTGGTTAGCAGTGGACGTCCATGCACTGCCGGCACAGAGTCCTCCATTAGCGGATGGGTCTTAATGAAGTTGACTGCAACGCTGCTTAGCGTTCTTGAGTCCTCGACGCACGGTCCTGGGCGTGGCTTTGGCACCTGGTCACGCTCCACTGGAAGCCAGTGGGATTGTGAGTCTTTCTGCGACTTGAATTCTCCATCAAAGGCGGCCAGTATATCGTCTACGTTGTAGGCACAGACTGCCGATCCCGGAATGGCATTTACAGAGGTGGTAAAGACTGCATAAACCAGTGATTTGGAACCGCTCTCCACAATGGGACTAATGGCCTCTGTAAGAAAAAGAGTCATCATACAGATTAGTATGGTAATTTAATTTATTCTTAAATCTTAAATCAACTTACGGATTTCGTCAAAGTAGAAAGGAAACTCCCCAGGCACTGAGCAGTTGAGGCGGGCCTTCAGAAAGGAGGTCCAGCTCTTGCCGTGACTATAAGGTCCTCCCCGGTCGTTCTTGCACACCCTGGCGACCCGCGAGTATACGGCCTTGCCAAAGTTCATGAACTCCATGGACAGTTCGCGGAAGAAGAACAGCACGTAGCCGTTTCTCTCGATGGCGCCGACAAAGTCCGGCTGGTTCAGTTGCTTGAGATCATACTGTTCGGTGCGCAGGTTCTCCCTGTAGATAAGGGGGTCTCCACCCGAAAAGTCCGCCACGGTGGCGCTGTACAACTGGCCATCGGCGAAGGCGTAGGTGCTATTGTGGGCGGGACTGTAAGGGCACAGACCCTGGGCCTCCACATCGCGGCTGACTTCGTAGCGCATGACGTGGGCGTGGCCAGCGGAGGCGGTCTCCTCCGATGACATTTCCACCGGCGTGTAATGACGACAGCGCGGCTTATATGAATTGGTGCCACAGAGGAGCACCTCGCCATTGGAACGCAATGCATAGACGCGCAGGTAGTTGTGGCAGTCCCACTCGAGCTTGCCTTTCAGGGCACACAACTCCCGGTCCGCATCCGTGCTGTGCCACTCCAGACGCGCAATCTCCTTCAGGCCATTTAGGCTCACATTGTAGATGACGTCCCTGCGAACCAAGATGGAGAACAATTGAATTAGCAAATGCGGGAATTAATTCGCCGATGGCGTGTGCCTGCCCAGAATGTGGAATGGAAGCCAGCCAAGTGCGGGGACCAAAAATAAACGACAAAAAAATGCCACGACCTGAGAGCTTCGTGCCAGGAACACACAAATGTTTGCCCGTACAGTAGAGGTTAAAATAATAGTTATGTATAGAATAATGAAGTTTTTAATAGGAGATTAAAATGTATTTTAAGTGCATGTTGGAAACTTTGTTAATTGTTTTTGTAAGTAAGCTAACATTTATGATACCCATAAACTACTTGATTAAATTTTCTCAATTTCTCAATGCCAAGTTAACTTTTGTCATTGCCTGATTCAAAAGAAAATAGTATCTCAATATGAAGTTTAGGTTTTATTTGAATAAAAACCGGCGAATGTTTCCAAACATTTTATGTTCATGGTCAGTTTATTTGACAAATCGCAAACTAGAGTCTTAACATAACACTCAAATATGATATAAAATATATATTTTTATATTGTTTTTTATAACATACATTAAAATTAAATAAATGGCAGAAATTCAGTCTTTTATAGGCAAAAATATAATAAAGTGCAGTCTAGCAAGAAACGCTTTAGGTAAACATTACGATTCATAAACAGCTTTTACAATTAATAAACAAAATGTTTTTCATTAGCGCAAAACCAGATGCATTATTATTTCTTTATTTTTCATTACAGACTTTTCAAGACCACATTGCTATTATTTTGGCCGCAGCTGTTTCTACGCCCCACCGACAATCATATCCCAAGGTTGCCTTTGTGCGAATAATTAGAACTCGTATACAATTGTATAATTCTGTGCTTTAAGTGGCTAATTATTGTGGCTGCTAATTTGTTGCTATGTTATGTTGTTTATGGCACCAGCAAGTCTGGGGCGCAGGAAAATATGATAGATCGAAAGCTGGTTTTATTTGTCGGTCCATTTCAGATCGCCGATAACTGACCATTAGTCAGTCAAATGGTAGGTTGAAAAGTTCTCACATCGTATGTGTAGTGATTAAAATAAATGTATATTCATAAGACCCTATCGAATTATGCATTTTACTTAAAAATATATAATTTTCTATCCATAAAAGTCAGCCAGACTTTAGGGCAAACGTGATAAAATGTTCGAACCGACTTATTGACTCATGGGGTGTATAATTATATGGGTACTACCGATTCCAGACCCCTGTTTCTGTATCTGGTCAATGCCAAATCACTTCTACTTCCAGGAAAGGCAATGAGAAATGCTAGATTTGCACTTGCCACTAATGAAAAGCGAATATCAAACCAAACAGCCAATAAACCGGGAGAGTAAGACGAATGGCGCGTTAATTATTCCGCGAATCGAACGCTATATTATTGTGTTTTTATAAATATTTAAACGTGTTCGTGCCAAGTTTATTTGCGCACAGGTACGAGGAACTTTGTATTGTTTGCCAGAAATCAAAGGTATCGGAATGGATCGTAAATATAAAGGGAAAATACACTTACTTGGCACCAACTAGAATGTTTTCATCATTGTGGTCCAAAATCTTGAAATAGTCCGTCGAGTTGCCAATAAAATGGGCCAAGACTTTGTCTTGTTCTGCAAATAAAGTAAGAAAAATTCAATGTTATTGACGGTTTCTGTTATATAACTTGTAAAAGTACTCGTGTCTTGAGATTTCGCACAATTTCTTTGTTGTCTCAAGCATAATTTTTTTCTGTTTAACTTGCTTGAGAGGAAATGCTAATTTGCTGCTGTCTTGGCGAAAATTCCGCCTGATAAGCAGCTTGGAAAATCAGAGCCAGCAGCTTAGCTCTTGTCATTGATAAACCAGCAACAATAAGAGCATAAAAAAGCAATAAAACAGAGGCAAAAACCAAACAAATGACACAAATAAACAAATAGTTAGATGGAGGAGGGGTTTGGGTTTGGGATTGGGATTGGCACATACTCGTTTGCAAATCGGGTCGCACATCAGGCATCCAACCTGCCACGCTCCTCAGACCGATGGAGGTGATATAGATTATACATATCGCTTGCAAGATACTAATTGCCATCGCCGTCGAAGGTCTGCTATTAGAGGGGCGCATCTTGGTGTCTAGCAGTTGGGCCTCTGGTACTCCACTCCTCCGAGTTCCGATGATTCAGCGGGTTTCGGATCTGTTTTTTTTTCCTTCTCGCTGGTGGTGCCAATGGGGCTGGTGATGGCTGGCCTCTCCGACTGGTTTTAATCACTGATGCCTCGCATTCTGATGTCCAATGTCTGCCATTGTCGCCGATAGTTGTGCTGATTACTGGGCTGTTGTTTGTTATTGTCGCTACTGCTGCTGCTGCTTCAGCATCTGGGCTATAAGTATTCAAGTGTCAGCGGCAACGACACAATAATTTTCACCCAGCCAAACAACTTGTTGGTTTTATTTTAATGCAATTAGCTGGCGGCAAAAAGGAAAACTCGAAAACCTGCAATGGAAGACGGGTTTCGGAAAGTGTGTTAGAAAATTATTAGAATTTTTTTGTGAGCCGCCATGGCGCGTGGTATATTATTTTCGGACCGCATTATAGTCAGTAAACTTTTAACTAATAAAACTCAACAAAATATGTAAGTTGGCAAAAATAAAATCACGTATTTGAAACGCATTAAAATTTGTTTATGACCGCCATCAATTTGTTTGTTTCTCATTGGATTTCCCCTTTGGTCTTGTATCTTCTGCTTTTATTACCGAATCAGATAATTAAATCCACTTATATAACGGCTACTTGTGAATTCTGCACACTTTCTTTTCGCCAGTTTCTTTCCGGCTTAGTTGTATCTTTTTTTCGGGGTGTTTATTGTTTTGAATTCGTTTGTGTTTTGAGTTTGAGCAGCGAACCGAACCGAACTGAACGTGGGCTAGACTCAACGAGCACTGAAACCCGAAATGAGCATGAAATGCGAAAAGCAAACAACGTAAAACAACCGCCCACGCTTTGAGAGCAACTGCCGAGCGGTTTGAGCAGCACTTACTCTACAATTGCCCGTCCCCCTCCCTCTCCCTCTTTCGATATATCCCTCTCTGTCTGCCTGTGTTCTCCTACAGCAGAACCTCCCTAGGTAGAACCCACTATGGTTCGTCGAAAACCAAGGGGCAAAAGTTCTTATCGTCCCATCTTTATGGGCACTTAACTTCTCCGTCTCGAACATTGAACTCCCTTGAATTTTAGAACTCCCCAGAAAGGGTGTTAGAATATTATGAGTTTTAAGGATTTTTAGCATAACATATTATTTCTTTTGAAAATGTTGTGGAATTTAGGGTCTTTTGTGTTAAGCATTAAACTTCCCTGAATTTTTGATAATATAATAATGAAATTATGTTCTTTTTTAATAAAGTTTTAGCACAACATCCTCTTTTTAGTAGAAGTTATTTAGGTTTTATAATCTTAAATATTGGAACTGGATTTTAAAATCAACATTATTCAAGGAAGTTTTAGCATGACACATTAATTCCTAAAAAGGGTATTCTGAGTTTTCAAAAGTATTTTTTCTTATGATTATAAAACTGGAGAGCAAATATTTCCTTAAATGTATGATGCATTTCCGGTAGAATTATATACTAATTTCCAAAAATATCCGAAAAACTTACTCATTGAAAAAATAATTTTATTATCATTAAATCTTAAGAAGTATTAATATTGACTCAGTATTGTTTCCAGCTAAGTTCAGTAATTTTTGAATTTTAGAAATAAGTAAAGAACTACAGAAAACCCTGAACAGCAAAGCAAGAAAGAATAAAACATTTCAAAAAATCTGTGTGAGCACGAACACCAAACCTTTTTGTTTTCCATTTAGACAGTTTGCTTTTTTTTGCTTAAATGCAAACATTTTTCGAATGGTAAACAATTGTTTCTAAGGTATACAAATGTTCAGAAAAAACCGGTATTTATATTGATAGATAGCTTTTTATAAGCTTTAATACCTTTCTCATAAAGATATTAGATAGGAAACATTTTTTAAACAATTTAAAATGCTGATGCTAATATGATTTCTTCTGTAAAATCTAAAAATAAAAGCTGCCACAGAAGAAAGGACAAATATGATATCATATGATTTTCTGCAAGGCAAGCCTGACTGTATATATACCCCATCCTACCCAATCCAATCCAATATTCCGCGTCCTGGACATGTCATGTTTTTCGAGCATGACTCATGCCGACAGCCTGGTTTTCCTGCTTTTGTTGGGAATCACGTGCGGTATTTTCCGCCAATTTCCCTCCTAATCAGCGTTGAGCTACGATTTTCAGGACGTGCCGCTGACGGCCTATAACTGACTTTTATTTTTTCCTCTATCTTTCCCCGCGGCGAAACCGGACATTCGAGCATAGGTATAGGTACATTGGTGAAGGTGTGTTTTCCTCATTCACACACACACGTAATTTCCATGCGGGTTTTCAGGTTTTCATGTTTTCATTTTTGGTTTTTTCTCAAGACGAACACTCGAATGTTATAGTTTCTCACGCACCCAAAAAGTCGGTGGGTTACACATGGACAACTTTTACCTACCGACGGATCGGTTCGGCGGGGAACTCCGATAAATTGCTTTATTGGCCAATTGAAGGTCGGTGGCTACAACTACTTGTTGTGTTTCGCTCAATGAATTCGGATGATGATTCGTGGTGGTGGGTATCGCATCGTATAGTATAGTATCAGATCGCTTTTCGTCTTTCATTTTCCTAAGCGAAGGTTTTTTCACGGCTCAGCCGACAGAGTTTTTAAGTCACAGGTCAAGTGACCTGTGGCCCATCTCTTGGCCGCTTTAATGCCCTCAAATTATGGGGGTTGGCCTCAAGAACACGTATGAGAAATGCCATAAAAGTGCATGATAAATATTATAAATTACATTTGAATACCCTCTTGAGCGGCACAATTTATCACTCTGTTTTGCGGCTTACTAAGCGGAGAAATCAGCGAATGGTACTGACCGTTGGATACTACTTTGAGGTGTACTAGTGGAAACTCTGACAGAAATAATCAGTCATCTAGGTATAAAGACAGCTAATTAACACCTTTTTTTTTGGTGCCCTAGATCTAGGAAATGAGTTCTCTTTGGGTTGGCTGGAAAGGTCTTTAAGGTAGAGAATGTAATTTCTTCTGCAAAAATATTGGTACATATCTATAAAAATATAGTTACCCCTCTTTTGCAACATTTTAATATCGCTTTCAAGGGTATTTGCGTTTCGAGTTGGCGATAATAGAACCGGCGTTTTCGTAAGTTTTCATTTTTTTTAGTGGTCGGGTTCTCATATTTCAAAAGCCACACACCACTCGGGTTCAATGCCAGGAAGTCCGTTCCGCTTCTGGCAGCCCATAAAAATACAGATACAATTATGCCAGCCAGCCCAGAAAAACTGACCGTCTGGCGTTAAATTAATGAGCTCAAATTCGAGATCAAGTTACGAATGTGTGCCACTATTTTCGGAATAGTTGGGTGGTACTAAAAAACCAGACCTCCTCCCAGGCTGATAAGCAGGAGTCTGAAAAAGAGCTGCGAGATAACAGCCTCATCAAGATAAGGGTGAAAAGTATGTCACGTTTGACACTTGTTGCCGCTAGTTCCCTTTTCTACCTCATCTTTTCTTCTTTTTTTGGACCTGCGTGTGGGAAGCCCGACAAGAACGTGTTAAATCGAGATACGTTTCTTTTCGGGTGAAAGAATAAACAACTAAAAACTGGCTGTGTTTTTTACAACAGACGTGATCAATACAAAATTGATTTTAGCGTGTAGTTATTAGATATACACCGCTTACAATCAACTGCCCACGGTGGAAAACATGTGAGAAACAGTGGAACCTTAATATGACATGAAAATGCCTTTCATAAAAAGTAAAGAGCAAAACGGGAAGGTGATTACATAATTTGGTATCACATATTGATATCCGGACCACATTAAAGACAAATCGAGTGGTAATTTACTAAAAGACCATCATAACTACACAATTTCCCTCATTGAAACATATGATCAAGATATATATGACCATCATATTCCATTTATTTTGCTTCCTATGGTGTAAAAGTTGTATAATTTAAAGGATTTCTTATCACGACATGCGAAAACTTTCTCTGAATATTTCTCATGAAAGGAGGAAATTATATTGTAGTGTTTTAAGGTGAGAAAAAATGAGAATTCGAAGTTTTTTATATTTTCTTTAAAGATTTGGAGTTAAAGGATAGTAATTGTATTTGTTTTTAAAATAGTTGTGACATGTTACAAGATTTATAGGATTGATGATTAATGAGGAGCTTTGGAACATTCCAAAATATAACTAGCATTTGCTCACTTTAAAGGTATAAGTTGAACTTCAAGAAGCTTCACTGTAGAACCCGTTTGGGTCCGTGGGCGTTTTCATTAAGTGGAACCGAGTCGCAACAGGTGGATTCGAGTGTCTTGTAGTGGATGTTGCCTTTTGGAGCCCAACTGGCTGCCAGATTTAATAAAGCTTGGACTCTGCTCTGATGTAATGACAATATGCATATGTTTCTTTATGAATAATAATCAATTCTGGGGACTGCTTTCTTTTGTTTAACCGCTATCGGCCGCAGTTCATTGCTCTGTTCTGTTTTTCTTATTTTCCACTTTTTCCACTTATCAAACCAAAAGAGGAAAAAGCAGAACAGACATGGTCTGTAGGATATGGAATTATCACCGGACTTCCGATGTTTGGTGATTCATGTAGATGAACCAGTTTACTATATTTAGATGATTCAGCTGAATCTATTAGAGAGGCGTTATTATGGCGCGACAAGTTTTTCAGTCTTTCAGTTTTTCATTCACAAAACACTGAGCTCACAAATGTGGGAGTTGTTTGCAGGGGTTAAATTGGACAGCTTGCACCGCAGTGGGGTTAAGTGGGACGCGTTCCAGTTTGGCCACTTGAAGGGGGGAAAAACGCACTTTGGAAATTGGGAACACGCGCTGGAAATCCATATGTACATATGTATGTATGCAAATGCAACTTCCATTTGGCGTTTACCGTTACAGCTCAGTGGTAAATTGATTAAGCTGCTAATCGATTGGGTTCTTTTTCCTCGTTTTTTGGGCAGCAAACCCGTTTCTTGCTTTACAGTTTGCCTCGCCTCGCTCGTGAAAAACAAGTCCGATTCGATATATTCACCTGTAGCTACGCGTCACTTCTAAGCTGGCTAACTCTTTTGCTTCAGCTTCTTTTTCTTCTTTTACCACTTATTATCCGCTTCTCTTTCGACTCGCTTACTTTACCACTTTGGCTGCTGTTTACACACACACACAACACACACACTCGCACTCGATGATTTATTTTCTTGTATTACTTGTTTCTTATGTTGGTTTGTATATATGTTGTTGTTGTTGCTGCCGCTGCTGCATGCGCATAAATTAAAGAGCGCGAGAGGGAGAGGGAAGTAGTAACACACGTCTGTACACAATGAAAACCTGTTTGTTGCTTTTTATGCTTCCAGTGCGTCTCTTTGGGTGTGTTGTTGTTGCCTGGAGGCGAGAGACGCTATGCGGGGGTTGCCTTTGTAAAACATTGTTTTAGGCACTTGAACTTTGCACATTTCGGTCCTGGTTTACGCATTTGTTTTAGGCACACTTGCGATCGTCCTTTTAACTCACCAAAATTCATAAAAACATTTAAATAAACGATCAAATTAAGCGAAAAACACGGAACACGAAAAAAGTGTATACAACTTCACTGATCGACGGCCATTTTTAAAGTGACCCTGGGGGGCCTCGTCAAATATACCCAAAAAAATATACCAAACTGGCATTTGGTATCAAAGAATACCCTTGATATTCCGCACCTTTGAGCGGTGGTGTTTTTTAGTACCTCCGAGGTATGGCAGCGCCGTTCGTTTCCCTGCGAGGAAAAACACAAAATAAAAACTAATATGAATAAAATGAAGCAGAAATAAAGTGCAATAATCATCCGAGAAGAAGAGGTTTAAAGTGCAATACACGATGGCCACAAAGTAAGTGCAATTGATAAGATTTCATACACAGTGCAAAAACATAAAATCGTTTGTGGGCGTGTATGTGTATGTGTGTGGGCGGCGCGCTGTGTATGTGGGGGTATTTTTGTGTTTGTTTTGAGCTGCAGCCTCCGCCCCCGCAGCCACCCACCGCCACCCCCTCGCCCACTTAATTTGCATTCGCATACACAGAAAGTGAGAAGAAGAAGAGGTCAGAGATAAGTATCGATTCCGAGCGGTGAAATTGATAAATGTCAAAGTTCATATGTTTTCCAAACCGGTAAAATGGCAATTTGAATTTGATTTCTTTGGTTAGTGAGTGTTAAAAAAAGATATTGTCAAACCAAAACACTCGTATCACGTATCCAATATTCTTTGGGAATCCCCTTAAAGATAACAGTACTCTAAACGATAAAATATCGAAACGGTAATTTAACGACCAGATGATTCCATAAAAAATCTATTATTAGTCTCTAAAAACTTAATTCAATATTTCGAATTTTAGATTTAAATGTTACTTATAAATTTACGATTTAAAATGTATGACGTTTTTGCGTTTTATTTTACCATGGTTGGTATGTATCCTACCATTCAAAGAATAGTGTAAAATAGTTTAATATCTTAATTTCCTTGGTTCTTCTGAAGCGACCGCTTTCTTGGGTGCTTCATTAGGCATCATATCCAATGTATGTGCTATGAAGTCCGGCCTGATAAAAGGCGGCATGGGAAATTTCCTTGGTTCTTCTGAACCGAAGAATCCGGTACCGCTTTCCTCGGCTGCTGTTATAGGCCTCATCTCTCATATAGGCCTCATAACCGGCATCTTTCGTACTTCTGAAGTGGTGAACGATAGACGATTTTCTATCCGATCCAGTTGCTCCTTGAATCGTTCGGACATGTTTTGAAACGCAGATTTTTCAACTGGATTGCTATCTGGTTCTGTTCCGCTCGGGTGGTCTCCAGGACAGGAGTCGATGTCCCTGTCAGAGATCCAATACGATCCCCAACAATCAGAAGTAGGAACAGTACGAATGCCTCCTTAAACATTTCTTGTTATTATTTTATAAACAGTGAATGAATGCGAGTCTCGTATTTTTGTTATTTTAATAAATAAATGACAATATTTACTTAACACAATGGAAACATAGCATGTTTCATTTGATTTGTTGAAGGAATTTCCCTAAAAACAGAAAAAATTTACCTTTTTCTTTCACTTTTAGCTACTTTTAAAAGCATTTTTATGATTAATTTTTTCGCAAGAAAAACATATGATATGTTTGCACTTGTTCTACCAAATCTCTTCATTGCAATCTAATAAGAAGATAAAAATCCATAGAGAGAATTATCAATTAACTCTTAATAAAACAACATGGATAAATCGTACGTTCGCGACCGATATTTAATTCAATAAAAAAAACAAATGGAGATATTTCCTTGGGAACAGACTCGATAGAAGCTACATGAATCCATTTTAAAGGTAACGTTATTGCCTTAGAATATTCCGTCCCAATTCGCAGATTCTTGCATTTTACTAGATTAAGCCCAAGTCGACTTCCATTTTGCGTACGTTCGCGACCGCATGTTTTTTGCCAATATTATGAAAATTTTAGCTCAAAACCCATAATTTACACTAAGCAAAGAGCTAACAAAATGCTATCGACTAGAAAAATAAAATCAGAAAACGTTTCTAAGTGCGTGGCCATATACATATTTTCATGCAGATTCCAAACTATTTTAGGTATATTTTTCTATCACCTTAAAAAATATTCAACAACTTCTTCTTTTCATACCTTAAATGATTATGTGTTGAGCAAAGTTTCTATAAACAATGCCAAGTTAAATTTCTGTTGAACATTTTTTACCGTTTAGTAAACTTGAAATTCACTTAATTTGTGAAATTTCTTTATATGATAAATGTTGTAGGGTCAAAAACCTGTTAGTCATTTATAAACGTAGTCTAAAGTGTAAGAATCTCACGTAGCAACGGTTAAACGGACTTGGTAACTCCCTGTAGAAATGTTGAACGGCCAGGTGTTAAATTTAATTGTCAATCCATGATTATGCTTTTTTGGCGGGAGTGCAGTGTGCATGATGTAAATTAATTTGAAGCAAGTTAATTGTCATTGGGAAGGCTACCAACTGGTTTTTTATAGATGTGTTGATTTTATTGTATTCCCTGCTCAATTGCCTTATAGGATGGGAATTTTGCCATCATTTGCAAAATACATACATGTCGAATTAGTAGGTGGACAGAAGTGTTTCCCGTGAATCAGAAATGTGATTTTTTTGTATCTTCAACGTAAAAATCAAAACTTGTTTGCTACTTAATTATACCAGCCTTCGTTTTGGGCTCAAACATGACCAAGCGGTCGGAGGTTTAGATAGTTTTCGTTCAACCATAGACAGGTCATCATGTCTCGCAGTTTGTGCGCGGTGAGTTGTGGATATTTGCAAATTGGAATTAAGCAAAAAATATTGGTTATAATATAATTTAGCTCTTGGCGATACTCATCATTAATTTGGCAAACGCGGCACCTCAAAGTTCTCCAACTATTGTTCCGGCAATCCGCACTAATGGCTTCCAACTGGAACCCCTCAACCAAGAATACTTTCTCAGGTAGAGTTATTCGAATTCTCCAAACGACGGACCTTCATTTAGTTGGTTTCTTTCCTTAGAATCGAACATCCGGGTGGCACTATTCGCCAGGAATCGGTGAAACAGAATGAAGCCGGAAACCTGCAAGTTACCGGAGTGATCAATCAGCCCTTTGAGGACCAGGGTGCCAATTTGGTTCTCACCTACGAGGCTGGTCCAAATGGATACGTTGCTAAATACAGCTACGGCAAGGGTCCACCAACGCCCCCTCCTGAGACTCCGCTTTTCCTCAGTCCTACTGCCTTGAAAACCGCAGCTGGTTAGGTTTAAGTATGAAATGAACTTTACGAGATTGCCAGAATTACCGAATTTATATAAATACTATAAGTACCTTTTGTGACAATCCTCCAAGGAAAAAGAATTATAAAATAATTTTAATTAAATAAAACCTTAACCTTGGTCCTTAATCAATTTGATGTATAGTCCAAAATCGATATTCCTGTGAAACTTAACGACTTTTAAGATCCGTGGGCGGTCAGAAAAACAAAACATTCAACCAAAACTCGGTCAATTTAAATATACAAAATCATTCTGGGTGGCTAAAAGCATTCAATCTATAAAAATTATTAGCTGTTTACACTTTATCACTGTTGAAACAAGTTTTCAGCATAGTTCTCAGCACTTATGATTTTTAAGAATTATATTTTGTCCTCACTAAGCAGTTTTAAAAATGTTATCCATTTGTTGTATGCATTTTTTATATAACAACATAACATTCACTACCATACACTACCGCTTTTAAAGTGTTAATTAACAATTCCAGTTTATGACTTGTATTAGGTTATTAGTGTTTTGATTCTGTTTGTTAGCTGCAGCATGGTTTTAGTCGCTAGCCAACCACCAAAAGATCATCATGGTTGATCCGCTGTTTAGCTCCGTAAGTTCCTCTCCGAAGTTTGCATTTTATGTCGTTTAATAATGTACACTATAGGTGATTTTGACTTTGTGTCTGAGTCTGGTAACTTCGGCACCCACAGCTTCGGTTACTCGACTCGTGCCATCTATAAACGACAATGGAGTTATTTTAATTCCATCCGATAATAGTTACTACCTGAGGTAAATTGTGAATCGTAATCGGTGAATACTATAAAGTGACTGCCACCTCGTAGGATCGATGTAGATGGATCGGAGCGAGAGGAGACCGTTGAAGAGATTGCTCCAGGGACGCTTCAAGTTAGGGGCACGTATGGACAGCCATTTCCAGGATCCAAGTATCTCCTGGTCACCTATGAGGCCGGACCCAACGGTTATGTGGCCAAGTATAGCCTGTCTGAAAATCAAATCCAGGTTCAACACCTACCACCCGCTGTTCTTAAAACTGCCGCCGGATGAAGATCACTAAAAATAAAACTGTGAAATGTTAGAGGTTGAAGTAAAATTATCAAATACAATAGAGATTGCACAACAGATCGTTATAAGGTCAGGGTCTTTGTTTTAACATATCGATCCAGCCTGTGAAAATATGCTTAGCCCTGTATGTTGTGCTCAAAATTATCATTATTATTATAATAATAAAGTCACTCTGAATACCTTAAAAGGTCAACAGCTGTTTAAACAAACTTTTGCTTATTAACTAAAAAAATATGAGGGAACGCTACAATCGAGTGTCTTAACTATCATATCATCATACATTTTTAACAAATTAAACATAATGCATTTGTTTTTTTGGAGCATTAAAGTATTTATTCTCAAAGCCTCTCAAACTGTACAGTTGAATACAACCCATGATACGTTTTCTGTGGACTTCGTTACCCTCTAGAAATGGAATCAATACCTTGGCATTGAGGTGGTCGCCAGTTCGATTCCATACATTATTTGAGAGTATGGCCCTCGAACACCCGCTTAACCGCAGTGATAAAAAAGCGAATTACGAAGTACTCGGGAGCTTTCACCTCACTTCTCACCTGCTCGTGAGTGGAATTTTGATCACGCTCTCAAATCACCCAACGTATGCCGTATCAGGCAGCTGGGCCACATCAGAATCAGAGAGTTGGCATTGTGCGGCTGTATTGGCTTGTTGACTTATCAGAATCGTCGGTTGTTAATTGTGATAAGGAGCCAGCGATGCATTACTAAAATTGGAAGCTCCCAAGTTATCTAGATAGCTGACCCTTCTGGGACAATGTTTCGGGATTGGCGTAAACCCAGTCACAAGCGATGGAAGAAGGTGCAACAGAAGCAAAAGACGATGATCCTGACAGAAAGGTTTTTTAAGCTCTTAACTTGGTTGTATTCCAACCCTCTTATAGTCAAAGAATATTTATAAATACTGTAAACAACAATTGAATTGGAACAATACCTGTTTATGCAACTAAGATTGATTTGAATTCTTTAAGTGCCTATGTGCATACCGGTTTTGTTTGTGCACTAGTTATATCATAGCTTGAGTAAGGTTTAAAATTCCGCTCAATTTTGCAAACAAAATGCTATACTGTTCACTTTGTTTGTACTGTTCATAGTGCATCAGTGTTCAAACATATATATACATTATTTTGAAATTATATTATTAAACTCACTTTTCCTTTATCTATCTTATTTTACAGGGAGACGATGATAGTGTTTGTCTACGACACGGAGTGTCTGATAGACGAGGCGGATGATCCCATATCGGCGGTTCTATATTTCCATCCCAGCTGGGTTTCTGACTCTCAGAAGGTGGCTCTGTGTGGACAATTAATGGGCACTTCGTATTTCCTTAAGGATTGTTTCTTTAATCCGCGCATCCTGGCCCTGCAGAATGGCAAGTTTGTGCTCAAGGAGTTTGGACGTTTTATCCTGGTAAGATAATTACTTAAATTCTATATCATATTATATTAATATCCAACCATATTTTGGATGTTTTATTTATTAGGCTATTGGCACCGATCGGAATATTGGGGATCAATTGTTGGAACATCGCGCCGATTTGCTGAGTTCCCTGCTCAAATTCTTCCACCGTGATGTGCAGACTCTGTATGCTCAGTATGCTGCACCGCCCGCCCTGAACCGCCGGAATCTCAGCGAGAAACTGTACCACATCTTCGAGACATATCTGCCCATGTTGCAGCGGAATGGAAATACATTTCAGAATGTGCCCAGGTTGCGAATGCCGAAGGTGAGTGGTTAGAGTCATGTAAACCAGAGACTGAATTAATGGAGATCTGTTTTCAGACGGCCAGCCATATATTCCTGGAGGCTATACAAACTCTACAGTGTTGCCAGCAAACTAAGGGGATCCTAGGTGGAGCAATACTCTATCACAACAAGTGAGTTGGTCTGACTGATGTTTAAGGCTGAACTTAACTTATATGTGCACTATGTCTTCCAGAGTGGTGGCCTCCCAGCTGAGCGACATGGTTACCAAGCACCTGGTGCTCACAGATCCTCTGCACATCCGCACAGCTGCCGAGCAGGTGGTAACAGGTGATCGTGAGTTCCACATCCCCAATGGCGTCCAGATGCTGGTGGTTTACCTGGAGCAAATGCAGTACCGTCAATTGGTTGGCGAGGCACAGCGCGCCCAGAACCTGCAGATGAGCACGGCACAGCTCTCCCAGAACGGCATGCCATTTCAGTATGCCAAGCGGAAGATAAAGCGGGACAAGTCACTGATTTTCACCCACATACCCGAGGAGGAGCATGCGCCGGAGCAGGCGGGAGCAGGGGTGGAAATGCCACCAGCCAGACCCAAATCAATGCGGCCCACTCACCTGCCGTTGCGTATCAAGACCATGCAGAGCAAGGAGCTCCCGGAGTCTGGCATTGCATCCATCAACTTTGATGAAACCGACTCCTATCCGCAGTTTATTGGACGTACAAGTGTTTGCAACACTCCCATGACCGAGAATAAGGTCCTGCCGGTGGCAAATGTAATGTCCATTTGCGCAAATCCCGAAGATGAGGGCAAAGAGGAGGATGTACACAATTCCAATGGCAAGGCGCAATCGCGTCGAAATTCTCTGAAACTGGATGTTGAGAAGTTCTTCCAGAACTTCATCAGTAATCCAAATAAGGAGCTGACCCGGCGCAAATCCTCTGCAGATCTCCAGGATGCTCTTCGCGCCATCTCTAAGAAACTGAACAACTTCACGCATGGCTTTAAAAGCGATGTGAATCAGAATGGAAGCGGTGGTGGCGATGCCTCTTCGGGCTCACCGGATTTCATAGAGAACGATGAAAAGATTACTTCGCGGACCATAAGCGATCCCACCTATCCGGTATTTAACACTAATGGCCAGCAGATCTCGCGAAGCCTGTTCCAGCAGTTTCTCGATCAGTATCGCAAGTTGTGGGGTGTGGCCAGTGAACAGGCGCATGAGGATGCCGAGCTAGCAGCTCTGGTAGCCGAGTTCCAGGAATTCCATGCTGAGATCCAAAAGCTTGACGAGCATATGAGGCAGCAGGCAGCGGAGGGGTCTTCCGCCGATCGAAATCTCAATGTTTCCGCGGCCAAAACCCCGCTGGACAAGCGATCCATGACGCTGCCATTAAAATCAGCAGGAGAAGCCTCTTTCGGAGAGCGAGCATCTGGACGCAGTGGCGCTGGAGGGGTACCACTAACACCGCTGATGGCCAAACTGTCGGTACTGGCTCTAAGCGAAGCCACGCCCATCGAGATACAAACGCCCCTGACAAGCAGCAAGGTTTTTCCACGACGCAGTTCCCTGAAATGCGAGGATGCAGTCGATGCATTGGCTGTTATGCCCACCATTCCTGCTCAACCTCCGGGACCCATTCAACCCGATGGCTTGCAGCGCACGGAACTCTACATATGTGGTCAGCAGAATATGACCTTGTTATTGCTCATGGAAGAGGGCACCTGTCGACAGCAACAGGTGGTGCAGAAGATGGTGAGTGGAGTGTTATTTAATTTTGGTTGAATTCAACTAACAACTTTTGATATTCCTTTCATTTAGTTCGACATCTGCGTGGCCAAGTTCCCGCACATGGAATCTCAGTTGAATCAGACTCTCAATGTAAATGTAGAGGGCGATAATCGCGATGGAGGCGATTATAGCTTCATGTGCGTCGACTCCAAGTGGGATGTGCTGCAGCGCAATGGCCCATGGAATCCCCTAGAGCTTAACATCCTGGAGAGCATGCACTCGATACATTCTAGTGGTCATCATCTTACAGATTTGATCTTAAGGTCAGTTTACTATACTCTTAATTCCTTCAACTGACTAAATTAACAATACAACGCTTTACAGATCCCACGACTCCGTTTATTACGGCCACAAGAACGGAAGGACCGAGTTCTTCTACAAGGAGCCAACCCATCAGATCCACGGCATACCACCGCCTTCGGATCCCATTGGCAATATACAAATGCGCGCCAAGGCGCGACTGGAACGTGATCATTCCTACATGCTGTTCTAGGCTGTCCAATGGATCGTATATTATACACATATTGAATACTCGCATGCTTAGCCAAAAACAGAAAATGTTAACGGGGACACCAGATAGTCTGGAGAACTGTCCCCGGAAAATAGCCAACTTTATGCCATCCGCTGTTATTTACTTTGCGATCTCTGGCTGATTCCTACGCGAGTCCTCGATAGTGGTTAGGATAATGTTTCCATATCATATACAACACAAACCAAGGGAACTCAATTTTAAACAATCTAAATTAAACTTTGACTTTTATACAAACAATTTACAAGAAACGTTGCCGACCTTTTTAACCAACATTTCAAAAGACTCACGTAGGAAACTAAAAGAAGAGTTTTAAATGTGCCGCTTTCAGCCAGCGAGCTATTATTATGCCTTGTTTTATCTTTCACTTGATTGATGTAAAGTACAAAAATGTTTTAAGCTTTGTTTACAATGTCCAGCACTGTTGTTTAATTTATAAGCTTGTAACCTATACAATTATTTTAATTATTTTGCATTTGCTTTGACCGAAGAGATGCGACATTTTGCACTGATTTCGTAAGCCAAAGAAATTAAATCGAGAGGTTTTAATTGTAAATATAATACAAAGTTAGATTCGTTTAGGTGGAATTATTTGTAACTAACTTAAAGTTCACACAGTTTCCGTTCTGTCCAAAAGCAAAACAAATACTTATCTTAGCTGTTTCTCAGTATCAAATATAAAGCGCTTCGTGCCAATTTTAAATGCAGGTCAAATGCTAAAACCCGTCGAATATTAAGGAACGTGAGAACGAATGTTTTTAACCATACAAAACAGTTTAAACAGTGCACTGGTGTGAAAGCAAACAACTATTTTGAGAGTTTTGCGTTGACTTAGCTTAAATATACATAAATATATGATACATAAATACCTAAACGACATTATTTATATATAAATATTCATATATGAAACAAAGACAGATATTGTTTTTGTAGATTTTCAAGAATAAACCGACAAACCGTTGTCTATGTCTGAGAAATACTTTCGAGTTGGACTCACTTAACTTAAGACTAAGGCTAGGACTAAGGCATTTTCATCACAATCCAAGGAACTCGACCGTAATACTTGTAATAGTAGTAATCGTAGGCAAGCTTGCCCAGGATAAGGAGAATGAGGCTGGCCAGGACTCCATTTAGCCAATCGATGGGATGGATGTGGGAGTCACTTTCCACGCTGATATTGCACATCTCCTGCCGACTGAGGGTCAGCACTTTGGCCAGCAGCTGATCATCGTCCAGGCGGTAGGTGCAGCTCACATTCCAGGCATCCCTCACGAGATCCTTGTACTTGGTCAGCAGCTCACGCATCCTGCTGCCAAACTTGCAGGTGCAGTGCCAGGGATTCCGGCTGAGCAGTAATAGATTGGCGTTCTCGTTGTCATCGAGGGCATTGTCGAAGGCGTAGACGTGCAGCTTGCGGAGATTGTTGCCACGCAGATTGAGCAGGCGGAAGTTCTGCAGCCAAAAAGTGTCCTCAAGGTTGTCCACATTGGAGATCTGGTTGTTCTCCAGCTGCATGTCCACCACATGGCGGTAGTGGGGATTGTCCCGGAGAGGGTTTATGTCAGTAATCTGGTAAGGATTTATAAAAAAAAAACAAAATAATTAAATAGAACTTACTGGGACTTACAGGATTCTTATTATAACCCAAGATCTTACCATATTATCATTGATGATTAGGGTGGTGGTGTTATCGGGCAGAAAAGCAGGCAGGCGATGGAATTGCAGATGGGAACAGTTGACCGTATAGAGGGGAATGTGAGTCTTGGGCAAGATGTGATGCATCAGGCAACTGCAATTTCTCAGTTCCTCGTGGGATTGGCACTGCTTCTTCAGTTCCTAAAATAATAAAATCAATAAGTTAATCGACTGTTATAAGGGTGATTAAGATAATACCCACCAATTTAAAATGCATAACCAGGAGCATCTGACGCTCCTTATACTTTCGATCCATGCATATAAGCTCATCTCGATCCACCACCAGTCTTCCCTTCTCCGGCTGCAAAAGCATCCACTTGAAGTTCCTCGTGCAGTTCCACGGATTCCCCGCCAGATAGAGTTGCTCGAAATTGCGGGGTAGCAACAAAGGACCATCTAATTGGATCAGTTGGTTCCATCGCAGGTCCAAAACCTTGAGGGGATGCACTCGCTTGAAGGTTCTGGATGAGATGTAAGTGAGATTCGTCCAGGAAATATTAATAGTCTGCAAATCCGACATTTCAGGGAAGTCGAATTTGAACTCGGTGAAGCCACTGTATTCGATGGTCAGGGATCTAAGGCGGGGCAGCTTTTGGAGGTCCCTCAGATGATTGAAACCATCCTTTGGCCAGCCGCAGAGGAGCATATCCAAAGCTGGCTGCACTCTGCTCAACTTTCCAGAGTGGCTGTAATGGGAAAAATAATTTGTTTATTTAAATTATTCATATATGTAGAGTTAACTTAAGATTTAAACTGATAAGCAAACTGAAGAGCTTATGTGTAGTGCAATATTCTAATCGTCAAAATAAAACTAATTAGTACCTTTAGAATACAAATTATGATATTATAAAATTAAAAATAAGTTTATTTTCTTAATCATAAGTCATCATATTAAAATTAAAATGATATTTTATGAAGGAAAGCTTATGTAAACACTTTGATTATATATTAAGAAGTTCTTTCATCAAAAATACATCTCTATAGTTTCCTGTTTTGAATTTTACACATTTCCAATGGTCATGTTATTAGGTCAGGGATCAAATGTGAAAACTTAGTTTATATTATAAAAGATTTATGAAGTGACTTTATCTCTTCTTATTCTGAGTTTATGGAAAAAGGAAGCGTTATATATCCAATGATATTATTTTAATGATCTCTTTTTGTAGTTTAAATACAAAACACATGTAAACAGAGATCTAATAATACTCACTTAAGAGCCGCTAGGTTGTTCATTCCGCCATAGCACTTCAGAGTACCATTCCGGGATAGCCTCGAGCAGTTTCCGCCCGCCGCCTCCGGAGCAGATGACCAGTCCAAGCAGCTGTTCGAAATAGCGGGCATGGGAATGGTTTTGGTGGTGATGGTGGCCAGCGCAGTGGTCGTCTCATAGCTCTCGTCCGTGACTCCATGGCTCAGTCTAAGTAACAGATAATTGGTGAGTAAATAACTGTCTATCTCATGATGCTATTTCTGGCCCAGACAGCCCTCAAATTGGTGATAATTTAACCGCAATACGACTCTCGTTTAGGGCCAACTTGATAAGCAGACGCCAGGTAACTCTTAATTGCTTGGGTAAAACACAGATACGAGATACAGATACTGACTATTTAATTTACTCTGTTACTCTGTTTTTCTGCCCCAAAACATCGGGGAAATTAGCTTGTCCCAGTTTACTTTGGTAACACAACTTAAGAGTTGAGAAATTCCAAAGAACATGTTCTATTTTCTGACTACGCCTGTAAAAATAGCCAAGTAGCATCTCATTGGATCGGTTTTAGGCACTGCAAACTGCTTCTAGCCAACCGACTTGGGCAAATATATCACCTAATCTGAACGGTAGCTCAACTCCGGGTAGTAAGTATACCTGCGTAGTATGGAAATCTTGTTTGCCCTGCCTATATGGCGGTGATATTAGCAGACGGAGAGCCGAAGTATATCACATGATGCTCATTTAGCACATCTCGAGGTGCTATATCACAGGTTGACAGACAGCAGAGTCCGGAATAATTTCGAAGACACGTTTTTGCCGTTGAAAAGTACCTTTTCCACTGAATTGTATTTCCCCAAGTAGGGATAGGTCAGTGGAAACTTTGGGTAATATATCTATTGGTTTATTTCCGAAATAAATTTCCCGGTAAGCGTATATCAACAAGATTATCTTCGTATAAACACAAAGACGCTGCCAAGAATACGCATGGAAAATACATACATCATCATTTAATATACCCCGTCGAGTTTTCCTAAGGGTACTAAGTGGCTCTAACTGACAATTAACAACCTGCCTTCAAGGCGTTAAACTCAACAATACACACAGTGATATATAATAACACCCAAAAATATTTACTCAAAATTCCACGAGTAATAACAGTTCGGTAGCAGCTTTGTTTGATTTGAAGTGGTAGTATTTTGGGAGCAACAAATATTTTAATTCGGTTGGTATTCAGCTTATGTGCTCGATAAAGCCAAGATCCTAGCTGCCAGAATCGACACTGTTTCTCTGAGTTGCTCGGGCTGTCAATTATCGTTGATTAACATTGGCGAATTCGAAAGGTACACAAAAACCGATGACCAGACATGTATTTTTAATATTTTCTGAAAAGCAAATTTTCGTCTTTATCCCACGAAGTTTCACTTGGTTCGCTAAAATATTTACCAGTCGTACAACATGGCGTATGCGTGACGACAAGTAATGTCAAATTTTAATTGAAAAGTATGTCTCAAGACATTTTTCAGTTGACTTTTGATCATCGAAACAATTGGCATGCTATTTCATTTAGACAATCAAATCGGTTGGGCAATAAATTCTCTTGCACTTGGTTCTCTAAACAAATTCTAGCCATTTGTTCAATTCAAGAAATGTGACAGCAAGTATCAACAAATTTAATACGATTTGATCTACCTTTCATTTTCTACGATTGGAAATACGTTTATCACAATAAATCTACTTATGAATCCGTCACGAAAGCGGCTATCATTTGACTTTTGATTCTCATTGAAATTGCCGATAAGTGAAAAAAAAGAAAGAGATCAAAAAGATGACAAGAAAATGGGTGGAAAAGTAAATAGTACGAGTATATAATAGAAAACCTTAGCAGATCCGAGAAAATTTTTTTGTCATATCATTTTGATTAGGCAAACCTTTTTATAGCCTTCGGTGTGATAAGAATTTTCAAATTAAAGACAATTCCCTTTCGAAACCCATGGCTGTGTTGCGTTGCTTGGGGTGAGCGATAAAGGTGATATGAAATTTCGGGTTTTTTTCGCCCCTGTTTTGAATGTTGAGGAAGTTGCCACCTTAGAGCTTTATTGCCCTAATTGCCTCATGTGCTAACAGAATATTAAACTTGTGGTTTAGAGTAGGAAAATAAAACAGTCATATCTTTATTTCAAGAACTGCAAACAGTTATATGTAAACTGGTTTATATTTCCAATGAATATTATAATACTCCAGTTGACTTTGGCCTGTCTAGTCTTTATATTAACCATAAAACCCAATCAGTTCGATTTGATTTGGTGTGGCGATAAGTAACTTTGCATAGGCCTTATAAAAGATTTACCATGGACTATAACCCACATATGGCATAGCCTGGCCCAGAATAGGATTTAGTAGGTTTATTAATAAATCGTCGAGTGTTGTAAACATCTGATAACAGCGGCACACATTGCTGGCATTACACTAAATTACACATACGCCGCGTGGTCCACTTTGGAATTTACCTTATTACGACCATGCAAAACAGCCAGAAACATTTCGCAGACCCTTTTTGAAACACTCTGCTTGCCATGCTAATATTCAGGTATTTATAAATATTTATTTTAAGACTGTTTATCCGAGTTGCGAGCTGTTTTCATTCAGAATATTCCATTGTCACGACCGGCTTCGTTCAGATCGAATTGTTTTGGCTATGCCATTTGCTCCCATGCTAACACATAATCAAAATTTCTTGTTTTCCACGCTTCGCCGTTTAATTGCCACGCATCCGCGTATCTGTCCGCACTGTGCTACTTTTCTCGCGTTTGAAGTTCAAATGCGGCGCGAACGCGAAACGCTTGGGCTTTTGCCGTTTCTTCTTCTGCCCCAGAGCGGGTATTATAATTTCTGACGCCCGAGATCTCCAGCGGCAAATCAGCTGACAGCGAGAGTGATACAAACTTATCAAAATAGCGCTCTCCATATTTTATTTGGGGGCTCGTTTCGGCCGAAAGCAGCTGTTGAATTTGCCAAACGGTGGGGGGCTGATTTACGATCATGGTCCCTTCACGTGGGTTTATATTGCTTATACACTTTCCAAAATCCAATCTAACAAGCTCCGGCTGAATCATTTTCATCTACTACCCGGTTCATTGGCATACAAATTACTTATAATTCGGTCTATCATCGAACAGCAACCGATTTGTACGATTTAATGGCTTCACCTCGGCTGCAGAATAAAAGTAATTAACAATCATGTGACATGGAGCTACCTTTCTAATATGTTTAATCGTCTGTATTTGTACACCAAAATATACATTTCATTTGAGGGCTAAACTAGGGAATATAGTTAACACAAACCGTTGACTAGGATGTGTGTTTGGGTGCAATGCGTGTATATAGGTTGACTAAAAATTGCGTGGTCTAGTTTTTAACAATTATTTGGTTTCGAGTTCCCAGCTAGGTGCTTGTGCATTGTACTTTTTAACGCTGCAGGCAGTTTAACTAGAGCTCTGAGCTTCTTTGGACCGGCGAAATGCATCGACATTGATATACGATATACTATATACACAAACATGCGTATGTTAATAAGATATTTTCTATGAAACTTTGTAAGCCTGCCGCGAGGCCGTGAAGGTACAATTTGCCTGCATTCTGTCTCTATGACTTCTCTAGGTTTTTAGTTGAAATCTCAATCAATATCGCCAGCTTGGGTGGCAGCATCTCCCGCCGCCTCGTTTGCGCCACCACTGGTATTGTGAATTTTCTCATTGGTCTCGGCCTGCTTTTGGCGCTCGTAGGCGCGAACATCCTCGAGGGTCATACCATGCCATTCGTCCAGCCAAGCAAAAGCCTGCCGGTGGCCCAGCAGGAGGATCTCCCTAATCCCGCGCTGAATAAAGTCCTCCACTTTGGTCTGCAGACCCCAGACTTCGAAGCTGGCATGGACCACCTTATAGGAGCACATGATGGGCTTGTCCGTCTCTCGCCATCCCTCAATCAGTGGTCCGCGATCTGGGGTTGGAAAATATATTAATATTGAGAATTCTCATATTCAATCGATTGATTACTTGTCTTTTCAGATTTGTAAAACTTGGGGTCCTCCTCCTTCTTATAATGCTTGGCACTGACTTCATCGAAAGCTATATCCAAATGATCCACAGTTCGAACTTTCAGCTCTTCTTCCGTGAGATCCAAACACTGTCAATCATAAGCATTATTAATCAATCATTACTGGCCCTTGATTGGGTGTTACGTTTTCTGTGCCGCCATTATTGTCCTCGTACTTGGTTTTGATGAGAACATTTAACTTGGGTATGAAGGAACACTGTAAGGAAGTAATTGGTTAGCCAAGGACGACCAAAATAGATGCCATACAATTACCGTGTATTCTATTTAAGTTCAGCCAATTACGTTCCAATCACAGCACATGAAATTATAACGTATTAAAAATAAATCAATAAGCAAGCTCATCAAATATAGCTAAAGTGCACCCCAAATGTTTATTTTGGGCTAGAAGTGTTAAAAAAATATAATCCCCTGGTATTTATATAAAAGCCCGTTTAAGTTATTATTTCAGTTCCTAAGCACTTAAAAAAAAACCCTAGGGAATCAAAATCTAATCCAGATTTGTCAAAAAATCGGAGGGCTTATTATAGCTAAGCTATACCAAACATGGAAAATAAGTATTGATAGTTAAGATATCATATCATATAATAACACTTTTATAAGCAATCAGATTTTCTTGATTTTTTTAATAGAAGTGGTTAAAACAAACATTTGTAAACACAGAAAATGTAATGTTCCTTGTTTAGATAATGTAATCAGCTTTGAATGTAAATAAACCAGCTTGTAATGGATTCCATCCTCAAAGTCAACGACCCAAAGCCAAAACACTTCCCATCGAGTGCATGGCGCTTTATCGAGTGCATTGCCCACCAGGTAATCTGATTTTATCAGCCTCTGCGATGGGAATAGCGACAGTTGTTAACAAATTGCCGAACGCAGATTGGAGGAGCAAGCCATGGAGCTCTGCTCTTGATCCCCATGAAAGCCACATCCATGACGTGCTGACTGAGTAAACAGGTGTGCGTTTAATGGGGCCTTTATCGGCAGACGTACCCCCACCATCATGATAGATGATGGTCTGATGATAACGCGGAATTCTTTCTGGCCCCCATAAACACATGATGTTCTAAGCACATCGCCATATGGCTGTGGTGAGAAGAAGGCGAGAATCCCCGTTCCCCGCCTCCGGAATACACAATTGAATTATAAATAGCCTGGGATGCGCAGTAGGTGGTGGTGGGTTACGGCGTTACTGCTCTACTGCTCACCTGTTAGCGTGTAGGGATAGTAGTTCCAGGATTTCTCTATCACATAGAAGACGCGCGGGCAGATGGCCTGTATCCAGTAGGGCAGTCGACTAAAAAGTGGAGTTAGATATTTTTAGTGGACTATCTTGAGGGGTATCCCGAGATATTCCCACCTGGACAAGTGAATGTGCTTCTCCGTGTACTGACCCTTGCCGTGGACGGGATCCTCGCAAGGTTTGTTCTCCACCACCTCGACGCCCTCGCCCTCCTCCGACTGTTCCAGACTGTGGCGCGCTATCATATAAAGCTGTCCGATTTTGTACTGTCAAAAGATGAGTGAAAATCGTTAATTGGGAGCAAGTGACGTTGGTAGATAAATTCAGGGACGAACCTCCTCCACGGTGAGCGGCATGCACACGCGGTATTCCTTGGTCAGCACCATTTCGTTGGCGGATGCGGCTGCCGGAGAAAATCCAAATCAAAACTTTTAACGTTACGCAAAGCCGACACACACGCGACGCAACGGCAAACCAACAACAAATGCGGAATGTGACCAGGCAGTAAGTCTTTAAAAATGTCTTGCGATTTGGAATAGTTCCAAATGGTGGGAAACATTGATGAAATGCTAGCAGTGTCAAGACCCAAAAGGGTTACCCTTGATGGATAGTTATCGATGTGTACAGGCGCCATTAATTAATTTTAATAACTTAATTAACTGTTTAAAAAAAAGGCACGGTACTACCAAAAGTGGTCTATCTCATAATGTATATGGCATTCATGATATTAATTTTTGTAAGCTTACTTCAAAATCTCATGTTTTTAAACTTACTAAACCTTTTTTTCGTGGCCTGATTTTGTTTTATTAGTTAGTTTTATCCATTAATAAAAATATTGTCTTTGCCGATTGCTTCTTAAAAAATATATTAATTTTCACTAATTAATTTACATCACTTTTTGAGTGACATCACTTTTGGAACTACCCTCTAGAACTATCGATAGCATGGTCGATGCTTCTGGCAATTCTCAAAATTCCAAGTACGGTCACATCCCCACGTGCATTCTTCCATTTCAATTTTCCATCCAAAATGGCCAGTCGAGTTTTCTCTCAGCTAAAATTTAACAAAAGGGTAAGTTAACGTTGGTTTTATCTGTACAAAATATGCAGCTTGCTTGCACGATGATAATATTCGTACCGCCCCAGTCTGAAAAGACGTGTTGATTGGTTCTCTATACTGATGCCAAAACGCACATGTTACAGACGGATTAAGTGATTAAATTGCAATATATTCATATTGTTCGTTTAATTTACAGAACGCCACGAGGTAGCAGCAAACAACTGCATTAAAATGAAGTGGAAAAATCTAGTTTCTGATGGTTTTCTACCAGACAGAACACACGTGTCCAAAAGTAAGGTTAGTTTCGACACCGAAAAAATGTTTAAATTCATTAAACTATAGTTTACAAATGAAATTCATGCACGCCGAAACTATAGACTACTGGTACAGTAATTTTAAAACATATTTAGTTGGATGTAATGTTTTACCTCCCGTCCAGGTAAAAATAGTGTAATTTTTAAATCGACTGTACAAGTAGACTATTGCATGGGTCATACAAAAAGAATTCAGTAAACTATTGTTCCTTGAAATCTTCTTACCTGTATGATGAAACATTTACCCAGCTCGCTTTGATATTCTATGAAGAGAACTGTTCCAAATCCAACGCAAAAAAAAACTGCTGACTTTAACTTCTTCAAAAAGCAGTGCTATCTTTATTACTATAATTACTAAAATTTGGATTTTTCTCTTTCCAGAGGTTCTATATGAGAGAAAATGTTCTGGATTTGGATCTCAGCATAGGTGTGTATTTCATTTTCATTCAATCAAATAAAAAGATATCTTGTAAATGATGATTAATATTATTTGCTACTCTTGAAAGCCTCTGATGAATACTTTCACCTTAAAAACTGAAGAACATTTAAAATATCGAAAGTTTTCCATAAAGAATTACAAAATGCACTATAATTAAAAAAAATTGTTCTTATTTGCAGATTGACGGACATAAAGGGGATATGACTAATATTCAGCTTAATTCTTGAGGCGATGCAAATCCAGGTAATAAAACATTGATATTTCGTGTAACATATTTCATAAATTGTGTGATGAAACATTTACCCAGCTCGCTTTGATATTCTATGAAGAGAACTGTTCCAAATCCAACGCAAAATAATAACTGCTGACTTTTTCATGCAATTATAAATGTGATTTTTCTCATTCCTTTCTTTAACATGAATTTCTTTTTATATTTTGGCAGGAATTGATTGAAAAACTTCAATTTGGATCGCAACTTTTGAAATCATGGATCTCTCTCTACTTAGGTGTGTATTTAATACTTTCAAATCAATTAACTAAATGTGAAAATGATGATTTATTATTTGCTACTCTTGAAAGCCTCTGATGAATACTTACACCTTTGGAACTGAGTCAAAATAATAAATTCTATAGTTTTAAATAAAGAACTTACATGTTTACTAATTGATTGTTTTGTTTTGACTTATGATTACAGATGGAAGGGTACCAACGGAAACGACGAAATTCGAACTCAGTTGGACCTACAAGGTAATTTATTATCAAACTAATAAGAAACACTATTTTTAAAAGTATGATGAAACATTTACCCAGCTCGCTTTGATATTCTATGAAGAGAACTGTTCCAAATCCAACGCAAAAATTAACTGCTGACTACTTAACTTATGAAATAACATGTGCTATCGTAAATTTTTCTTTAAACAATTTTTTTTTTGTATTTTTTCAGAAACATGAATTGAAATCCAACGTGGATGCCAACTTTGCAAAACATCAGCATAGGTGCGTAAAAATATAAAAAAACTGTATATGTGTAAGATAGATCCTATGATGTTAAGCATACCGCCCCAGTCGGAAGAACCTTGTCGATTGGATTTATAAACTGAATTTATGTTAAACCAATAATTTGTATTGCTTTGATAAACTTGTACTAAAGTCATATTTACAATTTCAGATTGGGATGAATGTTTCCTCAATATAAATTGGACATCATAATTCAAAGGTGAGTAATTATTCTTTAAACAATTTTGATGTATTTTCTATGATGACAAAACAATAGACAAGCATATAACCGAACAATCATGTTGATTTTCAACCGACTGAGTTTAGAAAATACATTACGTGTGCTAATATCTTAAGAAACAAATTCTTACGAAAGTATTTTTCTTATTTTACAGACAAAGCCAAATGAAGTGCCTAAAAAATCATTACCACTGATTTTAAATGATTTGTCAAAATGGTAAGCATATATTAATAGAAAGATTTTTATATATGCAATGATGATTTCCTTTATATCCAGTTATCCCTGTCATAAGAATAATTGATGATACATAGAATAAACTGAAACATATATGAAACCCTTCATACTAGTAATCTCCTATATTATATTGGTACTAATGTCATTTCCTATATTACAGATACCTATAACATGAAATTATGTTAGTCAACCTGCAGAAGAACCTCGATTTTCAAAAAGGTCAGTCTCATAACTTTTTCATTCGCTTATTAAAAGTTTTCCTATATGATGAACACCTTATTTAAGCCAAACAGTTATCCCTGTCATAAGAATAATTGATGATACAATAAGCTGACATATATACCTTATGAACAATTGATTATTTTTTACACTGAACAAATATATTAATTACTTATTATGTTCTAAATTTTTTAGATGCCCGGATTGAAAGTTGGCAAAAACTTGTCGAATGATAATGCCCTAAAAGAATTAAGGTAGGATTTCTTTCAAATAAAATAGGTTTATTGTTTATGATGATTAAGATATCGCCCCAGTCGGAGAAATAATGTCGATTGATTAAATTTGCTGATCAATTAAAGTCAATTAATTTATTTTACCTTATTTAAGATTACTTATTAAAGCGGTATTTCTCTTTTATATTACAGGCATCTTCTACATTTTTTGAAACCTGGATTGCCAGTTAAAAGGTCTTGCCAACTGATGATGGCCTAACAAAAAATTAAGGTAGGATTTCTTTCGATTTAAACTTTAAATTTTCGATTTGTTGATTATGATGTATAATGATATCGCCCCAGTCGGAGAAATGATGTCGATTGATTAAACTTGCTGATCAATTAAAGTCAAGAAATGTATTTGACCTTGTTTAAGACTATTTATTAAAGCTGTATTTCTCTTTTATATTACAGGCATCTTGGGAATATATGGGAAAATATTCACTTGCCAGTCGGCCTATAAAGGTGTGTATATGGATAAATAATTCAATTTTTAAATACTTTTTGATGACAAACCAATAGACAAGCATATACCTGAATTCACGTGTGTTGCTAACATTTTACGACTGAATTAGACAGATCTAATAAATATTGCAAAATAGTAATATTGTAATAATTGCAAATATTTAATTTCCTTTCAGATGATAATACCCAAACAACTCCTTGTCTTTATTTGGCTTTGTGATTCATCTTAGTCGTTGTGTGGTACGTATTTTATATATTTCTTGGCTTATCATTTCTATGTCCATAATTCACGTGGATGATCCGCCACATTCATTTTAATTAATAAGATTAACCTTCCCACACTGGAACTAATTTCAATCTTATCTTTTCTTGCAGATATTCCACGGATTGCGAAGAAAACCCCAAAAATATTCTAAAAATAGTGCTGATGTATCTTATCTATGAATAAAAATACAAAAGATTTTGTTTAATATAACGTGATATATTTTTATTTGCATTTCAAATTATGTATAGACATTCATTCGCTTCAGTTAGCTGGGAGATACTTGTAATGCTCTGCTTTCCATATTGACCCAATTCATTGGGTTGCATATAAGAATATTCAATTTGTAAATGTTGAGTCCTATATGTATATATTTTGCTTTGGATGTTCATTATATGTAAACATGTAAATATAAGTGTACGTTGTTTAAATACACGTTACATATGTATTTGCTTGGCTTGGGCCTTACACTCTTTATCATTGTAAATATATATATATGTATATTCATATATCGTATGCATGGATTAGGGGGCGGGGTATACACGTTCAAAAAACCCAATTGCTTCTTGCACAACAAAATCATTACCCAGGCTCTTGGGCCTGCACTTCGATACTAACTTATGATCGTCTCAACTCTATTTCCGCATCCAACGCTATCAAATGCTTTAGAACTTATTTTTTTTTCGAGTGTGGGTGCGTGCCATTTGCACACTGAAACATTTAATGGAAAGCACAACTAGAATGGTTGGGGTATTGTGGTTAATAGATTGCTAGAGTCTAGTATAGATATCGATATAAAATGTTCATTTCTACTAGACAACATTTATAAAGTTTTGTAATTATTTGATTTGCGGTTTCCACCTGCTCCTCATTTAGACCGTGTGAAACTATACCTAATCAAATAATATGTGCTCCCCGTTTTCGAAGTGGGACAAATCAGGCCAAGTCATTTTTTAACATCAATGACGATTTACAGAACACAAAGGAGAGTGCGAAAATATATTGCAGATTTTTGGGTTACATTTAGATATCAATTCCGTGTGGGAGTCTGAATAATATATAGGGGGATGAGTCTGAATCAAATGTCTAGCGGTTACGTTCTCAATCACTCCACTTTGTCTCATAATGTTTCGTTTTTCTTTTCTTTTTATTACAATTACTCAATAGATGTTTTTTAAAAAAACAATAAGGAATCAACAATATTCATAAAATGTATCATTATAGAATATATGGTAAATGTAAGTCTAAAAACTACATATAATTTGTATAGATCTAGGTCTGTATTTGTTTGATTGGGTATGAAATAAATAGTTATCGCATGCGTGAGGGTGAACAGAAGTCGAATGGAAGTAGGATGGTTGGATATCATCTTGTATAGCTTAGTGCCCAATGTGCTTCTTGATCAGGGCCTGCAGCAGACGGACCTTGGCCTTTTTCTCCTTGTACTGGGCGTAGGTTTCGGTCTCCAGCGAGCGGCGATCCTGCTTGAGCATCTTGCGCCCATTCTGCTCCTCAAACAAGGACTCGTACTCGCGGATGGTGGCCTTCAGCAAGGATTTCTCGTCGCGGGCTCGATCCAGCTGCTCCCACAGCTGGTCCACACTCAAGGCGGAGATGTTCTCGCTGGCCGCCTGGTTGTCCTGATTGGCGGACGCCACTCCAGCCGCTGGACCCGTCAACGTGGTGGTGGTTGTCGACTCATCGGAGGAAGCATTCTGGGTGAGAGTATTCGGGGCATTCGAGTCGCTGGGCGAGTTGGTGGTCTCGGTGCTATTGTTCGATGAATACTGCAGCGGTGTGGAAGTGGCCTCGAACACCATGGCCTCGTGCTCTAGGATGGTGGGCAACTCGGGTACTCCAGTGCCCGCTCCAAACATCACGGTGCGCGAGACCAGACGCTTTAGTTGCCTGTAGCGATCGTATAGCGGCCGGGCGGCATCGCGCTCCTCCTTGGTGATGGGATGTCCATAGAGGCTCTCGAAGTACAGCAGTCCATGCTGCACGGCACTCTTCTCCTGAACCAGTTGGTCGGCATTCAGCTCCTCCAACTGCTCGGAACGGCGGCCATTTACGCGCTTCTCGTTAAGATTCTGCAAGAAAAATGGATTTCAATTAGTAAATTGTCATAAACATTTATATAATTGTAACGTATTAAACATGTCAACTGCTGAATAAGTACTTTGTGGTAAGTAACCAGTAATCAGTGAAAACAGAAGCCCTGAATTAACTGATAAAGACCACCCACCACCTTGGTAAACAAGACAATTATTCACTGGCATTAGGTACTTTGATTTATTTATGACAGATTGGCAATGACTAGGCGACAACAGCAGACATTTGAAAAGAAGATGCCAGAGCGCCGAATAAAAATAGAAACAACTGCGAAATATACCCGTACTGTAAACAAATAATACCACTACAACATCGATATTACAGTATAGCAATAATATATGGAGGCGCACTTGGATGGCTGCTCTTTGGGCCATTTCCCATTTCCACAGCAAACCAGCTAGGGAAAATCATTTCGCGCGCACTTTGTTTTCTTGGCAAAAATTCAATTCCGAACGGATTCCTTCGGGCCAAGTGTTTGTCTGCCGCGAATGTATCATTAATTTGTCAATATAGAGAATATGGAGGCTTGTCTAGATGCCATAAATACATATGGTATATTGCCTATAAATAGAAACTCATTATAATGTGTCGGAAACCTCCTAATTTGCAATGCGGGAATTGTTTTTATTATGTCTATCCTACCGAAACCATAGAAACGTCTGGTATATAATGATATAATCAAGAGTAATTGATTTTTAGGTAATTTAATTATGCAATTCATGTTTAGATCTGATCTAATAGTTAGTTTTTAGCTGCTGATTTTAAATTAAGGAACTATGATACTTAAAAATTAAATAGGGATTCAGCAAATCTTTTCTGTGGGTATATGTAAATGTTTATCTATATAATGTTCTGTTATGGGCATCAAATTCTTAAAACAGTTTACATTCCTATATCATATACGCCTTTAAAAGTTCTTTGACAGGGCATAAAAACGTCGCTCAACCGCAAAATGTATTTTCACATTCTAGCCAAAACAAAAATTTGTTTTTAAAATATATTGTACACCGATGTCTACCAAGAGCCATTTGACAATGGGGCAAGATCAAAGTTATTGCTAAATTGCTAGGCATGTCACCGCCGCGGCTGTCGAGGCAATCTTCCTATGTTTATGCGACTTATATATATATGTCTATGACGTCTGTCCCACTTGCTAATTGTGATAAAAATATTTCGTGTCTCGTGATTTTGCAGACTGACGATAAACCCATAAGGAGATTTCTATTACCTGTTCGATTTCAGCGAGGGTGGCCTTCATGCGCTCCAGCTTCTTGGCCACCTCCTGGCCACCGATGCCTCCAACGCCGCCGCCGCCACCGCTGCCCACCTTCAGGCCCAGAGCTGCGATGGGATCAGTCTTGAGCTCGTGCCGTTCCTTGCGCAGCTTGCTCAACTCCGCCAGGGCGTTCTTCATGTACTTGTCATTCAGTCGCTCCGCCTGCGATGGCCTATAGCCCAATCTCTGCTCCAGGGACTCCTCCAGCTGGACCAGTTTCTTCTTTAGCACTGTGACCCGGCGATTTATGGCCTTCAGGCGCTCCTCGGGTGATTGAAAGGCCACCATCATGGCGGGCAACACCTGTTGCATAACATCGCGAGTGCGCATATTCTCCAGTGAGCTAAAGGCTCTCACCGCATCCATGGGCTCCAGGCAGCAATCCATGTCGCTGGTGTCCGCATGTAGTTGCACGGTGGCCGCCTGTTTGGGCATCTGCTGCGGATATGGCATGGCCTTGGCCAGTTGAGCGGCTGCATCCAGATTGCCACCGATATGTGGTCGCGAGTGGGCATATCTCCTGCTCAAAATGGGAGCCGGCTCATCTCCGCGCTCCCAGGGCAGTGACTCCTGGGCGGAGGTGAGGTCCAGACTCTGCTGCTGCCTCTGGGGTTTGGCCTTAATCGGAGCCGGGGCATTGGAAGTGGGCGTGCTGTCATCGCTGCCCGCCGAGGAGCTGGTGGTGGGTGTGGGTGAAATACTGGCGCTCCTCTTCGACTGCAGCTCCTTCTGCTGCTGATGGAAGTCTATTAGGTTGTTGTCGTTGTGATCGGCAGCAGATTGCATCGCCTGCTGACTCTGCTGTTTCCTGCTGCTGATGAAACCTCGGCGTTCGTACTTCAAAGCCGACAGATCGTACTTGTATGCACTCTGCTCATCCCGCCGGGAGGGCAGATACTTGGAGCCACTGCCTCCGCCGCTGCCGCCCTTTTTGGCCACTCCAGACTTGCGAACCGGCGGCTGACGGGATTTGCAGAAACGCTCGCTGCTGCGACGCCGTTCGTGCTCACACTCGGAGTCATCGCTAGCTTCTTTGATTGCCTGGCGAGCAGGACTTGTCTCTAGGCGAGGACGCTCCTTGGCCGCCTCTCCTGTTGGTAAATTGGCCAACGAGGCATTGTTCTCGCCCAGCTCGGAGGATTCCTCCTGCTCCCTTTCGAACTCTTGGCGATAGTTGGCATAGCTGGCTGTCCGCTTGAAATCCTCAGAGGAAACCCGGCGGATAACCTCACATTGGGCCTCCAGGAGATTGGCAGCCTGTGCCTGGGCCGTGGGTGAGACGATGGCTGCCGGTTCGGTGAGCAGCTCCTCGCTGTTGCTGCGCTGCAGTTTGCGATCCTGGCCAAAGGCCGAGCTGCTGTCCAAGCGCTCCTTGCGCTTGCGCGACGACTTCTGCCATTCCAAAGCCGGATGTATGATCTCCGGCAGATAGGTGGAGGTGAAGCCGCTATTCAGGTGGCTCTTGTCCGTGCCCGCCGGCGTTGGCTTCTCCGGACTGCGGACCACCTCATGCCGGTCAGCGGGTTTCGAGGACGACGAGGATGAGGACGATGACGAGGAGGAGGCTGCGCTGCCGCACGAAGCCGTCGACGATGATGAACCAGTGAGACGACTCAGGTCGTCTTCGTTCAGCCCAGTTGTGGGATGGCGCATGCCGCACTGAAAAAAAAAGATTGAGAGAAGGAGAAGCAATTAGAAAAATCATTCGAGTGCCGTGACAAACTTAAAGCTAAATTATAAATAATTAAACAGCCCGCGAAATGTCGTTTCCCAGGCACAATTAAGTGGGTTAATAAGTGTCCGGCACAACGTGTCGTATGAGTAATGTTC